ATTAAAACACCTTTAAAATACTATTCGATTAATTATCTTCAAGTAAAATAATAAAATATCCTATGTATCTTGAAAATGGTCACTTTTATGTTCACTTTCAGCAAACATGGGTTTTAGAGAAAGCCTATAGTAAAAACCACCTAATGGGGCCAGAAGTTACACAGTGGCTCCTCTTGTAAATGTCCTCAGCAAATCACACAGCAGCAGTTACCACTATTTCCAGCACTTTTCACCATATTAAGATCAGCAGGATTAAAGTCATAGGGTTTTTTCCTTACATAAAAAGCATACAGGAACGTTGCATTTCTACGAACCATAGGAATTTGCAACGTTAAAATACAGAGCGACAAACCTCGGGGTACGTAATTACAAACTACATTAACTGGTTGCTTCACGAGCAAGTTAAGCATCGGCAGGTTTGCACAAGCTCCCGCGGGAGAAAATGCATTCTTGGAGCACCAGAGGGGAGACCTCACACCAGAACACCCACCTCCGCGGCGGCACCGCAGAAACTCACCACTGAGCCTGTCCTTCCGACAACAGAGAACCACATTCTCATCTCAGGACCACAGCAACTTCTCCAACAGGAAAAAACACAACTGTCTGTTCTGCTCCGTTTCCCACAGCGGCCACCCCAGCTGGTCCGTCAAGACCCGGATCGGCCAGTTCTAAGCTGGGCGTTCGGACACTGTAGGCATTTATCAACACGGACTGGAACCGATGCCACAGTCAGACTCTTACGTAACCAGTCAGCTTGGATTGTCGTTCACTTTGTACTTTATTAAACTTTAAAAGAGCTAAAAAATAAACATGGAACTGTTTGTTTTCTAAAAAATCCAAGTTAAACAGGGAGCATCGTGCTGTCCCCCAGATGAGGAAGAAGGAGCACATAAACTTCCCCAAAAGCAGTGCTGGAAAGAAGTAAACTGCACACACACACACTGTCCAAATCATCTGGGTCTCATAAGACTGAGCCACAGTGTGGACGGGGCATCAGGGAGCTGAACGTCCAAACGGCATCCAGGCTCACAGCAGCGAACCACACGCTAATTAGGGAAAGGAAAAAAAAAAACTGAACCAGATACAAAGACCACAAGAGCTGACAAAAGAAGCAACCCACACAGACACAGTAAGCATCACGGGGGAAAGCTGCCCAGTGGCGCCCACAGGCTATCGTGTGCAGAACACACGGCCGCCACGAGAGAACGAAATGACAGATGACAGCACGGGGTCAGATCCCTGCCACGGCTCGTCTCGCTTGATGCTGGCCTGCCTTGCACTTAAAATACATTCCTGAAATCATGAAAACAGATCCGCTGGGCCGCTGTAATCTCTGCAGACCGGGCTATGTATCGGCGGCACCTTGGCATTTCACCTAAGCGTGTACCCTAAATGACCTGTGATTTCTGTTGCCGGGCCTTCCTTTCCAAGCACCAGCGACATTACAAAGAAGTGGAAGCAGGCAATGGGCTGTGCCCGGGATCGAGGGGCCCATCTCCTGTCGCGAACAGGCCTCAAGGCCATCTTCCCGTCTTGCACGGCAGCACGCTGGCCAGTCAGCAGCCTGTGCTCGTGGGGCCCCGTCCGAGGGCGTCTGCGAGCAGCCGTCCACACTGCTCTCTGCTCCGTGTGCGTCCCCCACGCCCACCTGCACCCGTGTGCCACACGGTATACTCACTCACCTAGCCTGACAGGCATCCCCGACCTCTAACCCAACGTGTTCAGAGATGCCCACAGCCCCCCCGCCCCTAGCCCTGCCTGCAGGAAGTGCCGCCACCACCTGCTCAATGGCCAGGGACGACCACGGGGTGTCCGGGGCGACCTGCACCCACAAGGACAGCCGTCACTCAACATGTCCAAGCACCTGATGCACCAGAAACTGCCAGCCCTTTAGCAATGACCAAGATCAAGTGGCCGACCCCAAAGCGGTCTAGTGAATGTCCCACTCCTCCACAAAAACACAAGCCTCGGTCTGGCTGGCCGCCGGTCTCCACTGCCACTGCCAACTTTGTCCGGAAAACGAGTAACCGATTCCTGACGCCCAGCCTGTTCGGCTGCACCTCTGAGCCCCTCGAGCCCGTGCTCGTCAAGAGCTGCACTCTGTTCACCTCAACCTTTACTTGAACCCCTTCAATGGTGACTTCTCTTCCCTGTAACAAGACCCACAACTCTGTCAGGACCTCGGGGGCTCTGTAAGTGTCAGTGGGACAGGGCCACACTCCCTCACCAACTGCCACCCCATGGCTGCTTTCCTGCCCTGACTGGACCCTGCGTGGCTGCAGCACAGGCTGCGTGGCCCACACAGGGGGACGACTCTGCTGTCTGAGAAGCGGCCTCACCTCATCTCCCCTGTCCCGGGTCCACCTCGGAAGGCGTGCCCCCCTCGCTGTGCTCTGGCCGCCCGGCTGGCACCTGGTCACCCTCGGACTTGCAGCTCAACAGGCATTTCCTCAGGGAGGCCATCCTTGAGCTCCACTCTCCACTGGTGTTTAGACAGCCAGTAAGTAGCCTGGGTCAGTACTGACCTCTGAGGCCATCTGCTCATCCATATTGTTCTGCCTCATCCCTCAAGTGACCAAGGGTATGCACTGATGCAGGCTCAGCGGGAGGAGAAAGCATGAGGGCGGGATGCAAGTTCCGCTTTATCACGTCTATTTTATAAGCTGATGGACTAACCACCTTAGCATTAAATCTGGAATCCCTTCAAGAAACTTACTGTTGCTTTTTTTCCAGTTCTAAATTTATACTTTCACTGTGGAAACTACTTAAAAAGACCAGAAACAAGAAGAGTGTTGGAATGCTTGGAATGTTGGCAAGGGCGTCACCTCCCCAGCCGAGGACGGGACTGGGGCCTCACGTGAGAGGCTCTCCTCTCAGGGCTATCTGCTTTCTGGCCCTGCTCCCAGGGGACACAGGCCGAGGCAGGAGCGACACGGGAAAGGGGAGGGAGGGGAGCACGCTTATTTCAGAAACCAGGTGCCTGCTGCTCTGCCGCAGACAGAGGGCCACACTCTCCTTGCCGGCTGCGGGGTAAAAAGGTTGATCTTGGATTTCGATCTACCTTCCGTGTTCTTCCTATCCCGCAAGAAGTCCTGTATCCCAGTTAGAAATACTAACATGGCTATTTTCCACTTTTTTCTATAAATCTCTCTTTTTAAAATGTCTTAGTACAGAAAATACCAACGATAAAAGCCTAGCGCTCTCAAGATGAAAAAGTGAAACTTATACTCTATTTTCCCCCAACAGGCATTCAACATTCTCTCCTGGAATAAATATTACCCTGACAATTAGCTACCACTTTCCTATTAAGTTTATTCTAATGTTGATGAAAGTAACAAAAGACCTCATCTTAAGATTACTATCTACCCCAAAGCTAAACCCTGCACATTCCCAAATTACGGGAGGCTCACGGACTCAAGTCACTGGTTTCTTACCACAAAACAGCAAGGATTCCAGAGTCGTTTCTATTTTTACAACAAAAGCACTTTGTGCTGACTACGCGGTTAAGAACAGCATTTTCCGCCGCTTCCTTGCATGGCCACAAATGCACACAATGCACAAGCGCTCAGAAGAGGCGGCCACGTGCAGGGAGCCACCAAGAGGACACGAGTGCAGCTGTGTGGCCAACAGCCACGGTGGCGGGCGCGGGCCAGGTGCAAGCAGCCGTCGGCGCAGGTCCCGGCTCGGCAGCCCCAGGGGGTGGCTCCCCGTGGGGCCCAGCCCGCTGCCTCACCATGGTTTCACTCCTCCTTCCCCCGCCCGGGCCTATGGAAAGGACTCCTGGCATCGAGAACACTGTCCTTGCTGGCGGCCATCTGACCCTCAGCAGGGGCTGTTCCTGGGGACAACTAGTGTCGGTGCCCTCTCCCTGTCCCCTCCCCCACAGGCGCGGGCAAGCAGTGCAAAGGCAGGACTGTGACCGTGGTCGGTCTCCCCGTCCTAACCACCCTGAATGGGGGCTGGAGGCCAGCCAGGGAGAGGGCGGGGGCGCCCCAGGAGGCCTCCCTGTGTAGGCGATGCCTGTCCTTTCCCAGGACACAGACGACCAAAGACGCTTATATGGAAGTCAGACTCAATCTTCGGCAAACAGGTACTTCTGTACTGAAAAAGGTCATAATTTTTTAAGCTAGAAAAAAAGATGGAGATGCTGACAAATGGTAGCCCTCATCACCCCACAGATTAGGATTTCAAATCCCAAGAGGAGTATTTCAAACAGGATTTATACGCGCGCACACACACACACACACCAGAAAATAAAAAAGTTAAAGCTTTCCTGTGTATCTGATTGTTGCAAGGTAATTTTTATCCTGACATCTCCCCCGTCCTTACAGCACAGCACTCCACGACACGGCTTCCTGAGACGCCAGCTCCGTCAAGTCCCTTTGGTCTCTCCGCGGGGTCAAGACGCAATGCGAAGCCCTCACTCAATCAAGACTCCCCTACAAAGCAGGCGCGCATCCCACCCTCGCCGGCAGTGCAGGGCGGGTCTTGGGGACCCAGCGGCCGCTGCCAGGCCTGGTCTGCCCCATCCCCACCCGTTCCCAGCGCTCACACCGCGGCGGGAACACACTTCCTTCCCGATGCCCCACACGCGAGTCAGTCACGGCCCCGGGTGAAGACGCCCCTCCCCACCGCCCCCCGAAGAGGGCACCCGGGCGTGGGAACTAGAAGTCTCCCACGTGTCTCACGCCCCGCTCTGACCATATGTGAGACCCGCGTCCCGTCTCAAACCCGGGAGCCCCTTCTCCTCCCACCTCGGGGGGTCCTTGCCTGTCGCGGCGCGTCACGTTTCCCCTCTGCCTGCCCCACGTCCAGGCCACACGCCCTGCAGCTCCGGCTACGGAGCAGGGGGCCAGCCCTCGGCGAAAGGTGCCTGGCGCCGCGGACAGGACCACGCACGCACCGGCCGGCGGGCGGGAACGACGCCCCCGCGCCCTGCCGCTGAGTCGAGGCCTCAGGAATGCGGTGCGCCCACTCGCACGCTGCCAACGCCGGCCTACCTTTGCCGCAACGATGCTGAGGCCCATTCCATTCTGCTTTTTGAGAGTCACAGTGATAATTTCGGGCTCCTTCCGCAGAGGCTGAGCCTGCAGAACGGAAACAAAGGTTTGTCTTGCGGCTGAAATGAAGCGTTTTCGGGCTCGCCGACTCCTGACCCACACAGTGACCCTACGCACCGGGAACACGGAACAGAGGAGGGGAGAGGAATGGGCAGAAGAACAGTCAGGTACACGGACACTCCTCACACATGAAGCCAGTAAAAGAACTGTTAATACTCGTGTCAAAACCTTGAGGATGAATCCAGTGTAAATGCTTCTTAAAGGTTATTTAAAGAGCCTAATTTCGACAACAAAACTAAACTTCCGTTGCTATCAGATTAGAAATACCCGATCATAAAGACAAAATTAAGTTTTTACTTTATTACTTTACAAAATAAATTACTAGGTGTTTTTTAAAGAAGAATTAGAAGTAGGCTAATTTTACACCGTCTGTGGGGAGGTCAGCAAACAACAGGTGTAACAGTGCATCCCTCTCTCTCGGGAAGATGCAGCTGTCCTTTGATCGTGGCGGGCACACAAGAGCCATACGATGCGCCGCAGCACCCAGAGCACTGTGTCTGTCACTCCGTGAAACCCGTGTTGGGTAACAAACCCGAAGGAGCTATGGTGCGAAATCCGTGAGACACACCAGTTCTTGAAATGACCCATAACCGAAGGAGAATGAGAAATGACCCACTGCAGTTATGTGCAGTACACAGGTCGCACCTCACACAGAGGAGACACAGAGCTGAGGAAGAAAAGTACCCCTGCAGACACACAGAGGGACAGTTTAATTAACTAAATACATTAAATACAAAGGCACCCTGCCAACGAGTGCTAATCATATGTATGGTTTGCTAATTTAGAACCAAAGTCAGAGAATGCTTTAAGGAAAATAAATAAGAATGGGTGACATTATTATTATTATTATTATTATTATTATTATTTAGCTTAAGACCAGGGATCTCCTGAGGGATCTCCGAATCCACTAGGAAGGTGGGGAATCCCTGGGTCTCATCCACAAAGGGACTTCTCTTCTAGAAAACGTGAGAACTGCTACCACATTGCTATCACCTGGACCTGGCAAAGAGCTTGCAGGGTGGGTCGCAAGCAGGAGAGGCACATGCACAGCGTCAGCAGCCAGTGACCAGCTGTCTGGTGTCACATGGCACCTGTCAACTACGTCAGAAGCTGGAGATACACGCTCACATCTGAGTAGGCTGCTGAGCCTTGATAAAAAGGTACCTTGAATTCAATACACAAGCTACCCAAGCCACTCTTTATTTCATGGTAAGTATTACCACCTTATGTAAATCTACGTTTTCTTAGAAACTGTATACAAAACTGGCAGTGTTCTGACTAACGGCTGGTTACTAAGTGAGGACAGCCCACGGGCGTCCCTGCAGCTGCTTCTAGAAGGCTCATGGCTGTGCTCACACACCAGAATCTGTAGCCCCGGCTTGGGCGCACGGGGCCTGCTCCACACCTTCTGGGGACAGGCGGGCAGGTGCATAAATGGCCACGTCTAATCACAGGTAATACCCTGACCCCTTACCCACAGGAATGGTGACAAAAGTATGGTCACGTTTGCTTGTTCCTTTGAACCCTGAAGTGGCTTAAAAGATGAAAATGGTAATTATAGAAAAATATTCAATATTTAAGTGAGAAACAACAAAAGTTCAAGAAGGAAAAATGTCACTGTTTCTATGTTTTTTGGATTCAGATGTTCATCAAAGATATGTCAGTACTTGTATAAGACACGTGCAAACTGCGATCACGTTCTCGGGCCTGGAAAACATTCTCTGTTGCTCAAAACCCCTTGTAGGGAACAAAGCAGAATCTTCCATAAGACGTATGAAGGGAACAAACACAGGGACTGACTACTCTTTCAAAAGATACAAGATCCCAGTAGGTGATTTGATATATACTTAACAAAGAGTAGAATGAGCTATAAGGAGAAAATATTTTCACCAAAGAAAAACATTTTCTTTTTTTTTTTAATGTTTTATTTATTTCTAGGAGAGAGAGAAAGCGTGAGCAGGGGAGGGTCAGAGAGAGAGGGAGTCACAGACTCTGAAACAGGCTCCAGGCTCTGAGCTGGCAGTCAGCACAGAGCCCGACGCGGGGCTCGAACCCACGAACCGTGAGATCATGACCCAAGCGAAAGTCGGACGCTTAACCGACTAAGCCACCCAGGCGCCCCAAGAAAAACATTTTCTAATAAAACTCATTAAGACTATCATATTAATATGTTTTTTAAAACATGTATTAACTTAAGGCTGGTATAGCTGTCAGAAATATTCTTTATTTTTAAAAGTACCACTTGTTTATGGACCAAAGTGTACAGACACGACAGAAAAAAATGTAGATAAATCAGTTTCAGATTTTGAATAAAATTGGTATTTAGGGTGATTTTAGGGCCTCCTGGCTGGCTCAGGGGGTGGAGCTTGTGACTCCTGATCTCGGGACTGTGAGTTCAAGCTCTGTGTTGGGTGTAGAGAGTACTTACAAATCTAAACAAAAAGTGATTTAAAAATGTTCTTATCCCAACAGTGCTCACTATACTCAATGAACGAGTCTGCATTACATTTTTGAATCGTAAGAAATACAGGTCTGTCTCTATTCCACCCGCCACCCTTCACAATACTTGCCAGCTCCATGTTCTCACGCAGAAGATGGCTCTCAAAATCTGCACCTTCAAAATATATTGTCCAAGTACCTGGTGAACGTGCGTGAGGAATTAACCTGCAAAACCCTGAGGAGAAAACAAGCAAATTACAAAATTGAAAAGTAAAGCATGTCAAAACATAATCTTCAAGGGATGCCTGGGGTACTCAGGTCATGATCTCACGGTCTGTGAGTTTGAGCCCAAGTAAGGCTGTGTGCCGACAGCTCGGAGCCTGGAGCCTGCTTTCGATTCTGTGTTTCCCTCTCTCTCTGACCCTCTTCCATGATGCTCTGTCTCTCTCAAAAATAAGTAAACATTAAAAAAATTAAAAAACGAAAACAAAAACATAATCTTCAAGAAGGGAAACCACATCAAGCATCAAGTGCTTAATATCTAGTAATAGCCTTTATTTTTCTTACTCTACACTTCTATTCCCTCTCAGAAGTGTATTAGAAGATACTCAAAATCACTATTTGTTGGGGCGCCTGGGTGGCTTAGTCAGTTAAGCGTCCGACTTTCGCTTAGGTCATGATCTCGCGGTTCGTGGGTTCGAGCCCCGCGTCGGGCTCTGTGCTGACTACCAGCTCAGAGCCTGGAGCCTATTTCAGAGTCTGTATCTCCCTCTCTCTCTGACCCTCCCCTACTCATGCTGTCTTTCTCTCTCTCCCCTAGAAATAAATAAAACTTAAAAAAAAAAAAAAAAATCACTGTTTGTTTTGGTCTAATGGAATTTCAACACCAAGATGAAAAGTGGAATTGGTCTCCCCTCTGTTTTGCCCCAAAGAACTTTTCTCCTTACTTCCCGGAGAAATGACCGAACTGTGCTACACCCACCCTGCTGACCTGTGTGCGGACCTCCCCTGCACAGCGGGCCCACGGGCAGCGCTAACATGGTTGTGTGCACACAGGCAGGCCCTGGGCCGAATGGCGACGGCAGGGTGTCGGTCCCGCAGGAGGATGGGCCCCTCTCGTTACTCTCTGCCCACATTTCCTTACTAGCCACTCAAAGTTCTTACCAGTAAACCTTAGAATCCTTTTATAATGTTTTAAAGAGCACCTCTGGTATTCCCATCCCGAACAAATGAGATCTTTACAAAACTAAGCCTTTCAACTCTGACTACGTCATTCTTCAGTGAGATCGTATTTTGTGTTTCCCAGAAACTTCTTAACAAAGTCGTATGACACAGGCCTTGCACGATCCTTAAATTCTCTCCACAGCGGTCTCGTTATTACCAGCTCGTGGTCCTGAAGGGCACCCCCGTGTGCTTCTCAGCGGCGCTCCCAGCGCCTGCAGCCCCTGAGGACACGGGCCGGACAGCGTCCCAGCGTGCTGGCGGTGCTCTCCTGCGCTAGGATTCCACCCGTAAGGAAAGTACGGTTGTGACTTGTGGACACTCAGGACGCCGTTTGCAGTAAACAGAAAAGGAGATGCCCACTTGCTTGGTTATAAGATAAAGACATAAACGTAGTTACAGCCTTTTTGTTGTGGTTGTTAAGTCACTGTCTGAATCCAGTTTCATTAAAATAAAACCTACAACTTCTCTCTCCCCCACTTTAGGGAATCGTAATAATGTGTAATCGATTAGCACAATTTTGAAATTAAAATTTTTGATCACTTTATCATTTTTTCAAACACCAGGGTTCCGCACCAAGGCTGCTTGCACTTCAAGCAGACAGTTTCTGCTCTCAGCTGCAGGAATGCATCTCAGGTGAGGTTTGAGTCTGGGCTGGTTTTATAGCCGCCTCTCACCGAACCGTAGGATACGACAAAACAAAAGGAACGTAAACTGAGAGTACACAGTAGTTCTTTATCTGGCTTACAAAGAACTGATCAAGAAGTATCAAAACTACTGATGTCATAAAGGAAAACGCCCAGTTCTTTGTAAGTCTTTTAAAGGTATGTTCATAAGAGGCTGTGTTATCATCTAACGCATATGAAATAAGGTGGGGATGCCAAGACCATGATGAAATGTCACACAGGTCCTGAAATCAATCACTCAAGGGAGTCTCAGGGGAAGGCACGAAGTGCACTTCACCATCAAGGCAAGACCTGAGTCTTCCCAGCTTGGCAGACCTCTCCACAGCACACATCACAACACACCACACGTTACACGTACACATCTGAAAAAGTGCTAGTAACTTAGTCTTCCCCTGTGCTTGTTCACAAGGAATTAATGAAAAGCAGTGGTTGCTCAGCACTGGACGCCTAGTAGCCGGACGCCAGGTGCTGAGGGTTACGCGGAGCCAGACCCCGGGACTGACCCGACCGCGGACAGATGTATACATGCACATCCAGCGCTGTCACAGCAACAACCCAGGAGCACACAGAATCACTTGTGGGGAAAGTGGCTCCGGTGTGAGGAGGAGGCTGGGGTTCTCTAGACGAAGGGTGGTCTAGAAGGGTGGGGATGTAAGAGAATAACAACACGTGTGCATGTGAAGCAGCAGGAGCAGGGAGCAAGGAGCAAGGCACAGGGGCGCCCGTGTGGATGTCCAACATGCAGTTCAATGCTGACAACGAGGTTGGGAACTAAGACCACACAGAGGTAGTTATCGTGCTTGGCCACTGATGTACTTGATCCCAGAAGTGACGGGGCCGAGTTGGGGCAGGAGAGCCAGCAAAGCCCAGCGCCAATGGGCTGGCCGTCTACGGAGGGTGGCGGGGAGGAGGGGGCCTGGGAAGTGGCCCGTCATCACCACCCGGGTGTGTGCGGTGCTGGGGAAACGCGGCTGAGGGCTGTGCTGCCGGAGACCAGTTCAGCCCCAGTATGGGGGCCTCTGACCGGAGCCCTGGCCCCAAGCGCCCCGAGCTTGAGCGCAGCTTTCTTAGACATGTGCTGCAGCCTGGACCCTTCCTCCCTGCCCAGCACGGGTCCTGGGCCCACCCCTCTGTCCTTCACACAAGGCTTCTTAACGCAGCACAGGCTGCCTGCCTCCACCTCCCTGAGCTGATGACATCAACATCCCGGGGCTGGGGGGCGGGGGGCTCCCGCCACATCTGCGGGTGGATGTACAAACACATCACCTTCCATTACAAGCACCGGTCTTTGCAAAATGAAAAAATTTTAAAATACCAAAATCTTTCAAGACATGAAAATCTATGCACTGTAGCATGTAAAATAGTCACTGAAATGAAAAATCACACTAAAATTATACACTGATGGACATAAAACTTTAACTTTGCTATTACTATATTTGTTTCAACGAACTCCTGAATTCTGAATCTACCTGCTCATCTGAGCTCCACACCACAAAAGCAGCAGACTGGGACTGAAACGTGGTCTAAGGGAGAAGTTCATGCTTCAGGTCCACGTGTTGTTTGAAAAGGCACAGGACTGAACCAGGGACGCACACTGCCCGGAGACAAGACAGGCTGCAGCCTGGCCTACAGGCACGCAGCAGGTCCCCGTGGGCGCCAGGCATGTGGCAGCAGGGGCCACACAGGAGGCTGGCTCCGCCGCAGAGAGCCTGCTCGGTCCTCATGACAGTCCCACAGGGGGAGCGCCATCCATGTGCCCGTTTCACAGATGGGAAGTTACAGGTGACAAGGTGGGGTCATACCTCACACCCACCAATCCCAGACCCCCTACAGACCCCCTGCTGCTCTGACGCGGCGGTTGCATCACCACCCAGGATGATTCCATTCCAGGCTCACAAAAAGCCAACCAACGGTCATTCCTACCAGCCCAGCAGACGCATGGCCGTGACACCGAGTGCGCACGGCAAGTGCCCTGGGCGGGCCACGACACACCCACGAGAACTGTGTGGCCGGACGTTTCTGACCCCTCGTCACCGTGGAACGCTCCCTCCCAAGGCCCAGAACACGTAGACCATCAGGTGAGAACGCAGAACAACCAATTCTCACTTGGACCCGGGCCGCGGTGCACACCGCACGCACAGTGAGGGTGCTCACCTCTCTGGCACAGAGGGTCCAGGAATTCCTGTAAACCATTTGGGACGTTCCTGACGACATCACAGGAATAGCCATCTTCAGGCAAGAGGAAGGGCAGCTGCAGGTCCGGGTCCTCTTCCAGCTGCACCTCCCGCCCGTCGCTGCGCGCCAGCTCGTCGGCCGTGTTTTCAGCCACGGCCACGACATTTTCTATCAGGTCCTGGTGGGGGAAGCAGACACGCGGGTAAGACACGTGAACTGACGGGTGCAGCGGGCTCGCCATTCAAAGTGAGTCTGCGCCACTGAGTGCTGCTACACACTCGGGCAGGGCTGCGGGGGGCAGGGAATGGGTAGGCACGCACACTGCCTGTCTGCAAAGCCCTGGAGCACTAGTGGCGTACGTGCTTTCCACATACGAACCGATATTAACAATTAATATCAAATAACTTGAAGCCTTAAAAAGAAATTATTCAATCATGAGAAAACGGTCCCCCCCCTTTTCTTTTTTTTTCTTTTTTCATTTACTTCTAGGAGAGAGAGAGAGACAGCGTGAGCAGGGGAGGGTCAGAGAGAGAGGGAGATAGAGACTCTGAAATTGGCTCCAGACTCTGAGCTGGCAGTCAGCACAGAGCCCGACGCGGGGCTCGAACCCACGAACCGCGAGATCATGACCTAAGCGAAAGTTGGACGCTTAACAGACTAAGCCACCCAGGCACCCCATGTCCCCCCCTTTTCAAGAGTAATCATTTTTTCCTTGTAATTTTTAAAAATATCCATTTGCTAATAATCCCATTTTTGTAGAACGTTGAAGGACAGGAAAGGCTCACATGAGGGTGAGTGTAGAGTCAGTAAAACCATGCGCTCACAGCCCACAGAAGAAAGGTCATGGCCCCCCATGGAGCAGATGCACCGGCTCATGGAGCAGAGGCCTCCCCACAGACGCAGCCCCTTCCCAGGCCCGAGCCGCCACAACGCGCAGTCTTCTCCGGAAGGCTGCGTGGACGGAGGCGCGCTGCGTTCACTCCGGCCCAACTTCCCTCCTGCGCATGGGGTGGCTGGACGGCGCTACCACTGCTGTGCTGTGGGTGGGCACTCGCTGCTCTCCAGCCTAGGCTGCTCTGTACTCGTCTCTCCTTGGCATCAACGCAGTCCTTCAGGTGGCTCTGTGCCCCTCTCAAGACGCCTGCAGCAAGCAGACCAGACTCAGCAGTGACGACAGGGGCTGCGGTGCACACCATGGCCAGGCTTCTATCGAGAGGCACGGATGCCAGAACAGGGCTCGTGCCAGCCGATGCCCCCTCCCCTGGGCGGCTTGCTGTCGGCAGCGCGTGTGGGGACGGGAGGGGCGCCCCGTGATGGCAGGCCTCTGAGCCGCATGTCACAGCGGTGAGCCTGAGAGCCAGGGTGGCTTCAACTCCCTGTCTCCTGCCCTTCCAATGTCTTTCCAAGAACCTAATCCCTGAAATAAACCCATCTCTACTCTAAATGCTCGTGGAGTTTTGACCTTTTTTAAAAAAAATATTTATTTTATTTTGAAAGTGAGAACAAGTGGTGGAAGGGCAGAGGGAGGGAGAAAAAGAGAGAATCCCAAGCAGGCTCCACACTGGCAGTGCAGAGCCCAACACGAGGCTTGAACCCACAAACTGAGATCATGACCGGAGTCGAAACCCAGAGACAGAAACTTAACCGACTGAGCCAGCCAGGCGCCCCAGTTTCTGCTTCTTGTAGTGAACCCTAAGGGCTACATCAACAAAAACGATCTTATAAGATGATTAAGCAGATTAGTTTACTTGTTAAAGAAGGTAATTATTAAAAGCCCCTCCTGCCCTTGGCTTTTTAACTGTAATCTCCCTACGCAAACATGGGTCCTGCTGGGCGGCTCCGTGGGGGCTTTACTCACCGTGGGGATAAAGGGCTCATCAGGCGCACAGTGGTAATTCTGTAACAAGGCCTGAAGCTGCAGCGAATTTAACTTAAAGCAGGTGCTGTTTATATTTGGGGTGTCCTCAGGAGCGTATTTATCCATTGTGAGCAAAGTGGTCGCCTGGTTAGAAGAGTAAACAAAAGGAGATGAAACTCAGAAGTATTTTGCAACTATTCCCCTATACATGATATTTAAGACCATAAGAACTTGCTAAATTCATTTTGAAATGCAGAATGTTTTTAAGTAAACACATTTCTATTAACATTGACCTGAAAAACATTGGCTAGTAGAGGTTTTAGATGGCTTCTTAATGTTCCTGAAACATACATTTATATTTTACTAAAATACAGAAATGTAAATGACATTCAATTATTTATGTTCACAAAACATTTAAAATAAAAGTCTGAGAAATTTACATATTTACATAACCATTCCGATAACCAATCCGTGGGGTCTGAATGAAGTTGCACTGCAATGACCCTTCCTATAAGCAGCCCCTGAACCACAAGGAGGGTAGTAGCCTCCTTCTGTACTAAATTATTTTTAAAAAATTTTTAATGCTTTATTTTATTTATTTCTGAGAGAGAGAGAGAGAGACACCAGAGGAGGGGCAGAGAGAGAGGGAGACACAGAATCCGAAACAGGCTCCAGGCTCCGAGCTGTCAGCACAGAGCCCGACGCGGGGCTCGAACCCACGAACCGTGAGATCATGACCTGAGCCGAAGCCTGACACTTAACTGACTGAGCCACCCAGGTGCCCCACTGAATTGCTTTAAAAGAGATTGAGAAAGTGAGGAAAAACATAGAATTCTACTCTGTGATAACAGTAAAAGTCTTGGGTTTGAGCTTGTGGATCCTCGTTTCCTCGATTGTGGAGCCGTAGTTTCTGGTCCTGGGCTGTGCAAGGGCTCCCGGGGAATGGCCGGGCCCGCACGGTCGTGTGCGCCTCGGTCCCCTTCTTCTCCTCGCCTCCGTCCTTTGGGAGGTGGTGACTGCCGAGAGCCGTGCCCAGCCCCTTCTCCTTACCCTCTGTGCATCTGCTATGGGCTTTGCTTTGTGCACTCCTGACTCCATGTGCTGAGGAGCAAATGATTACCTAGTTTTAAGCTGGAATCCATCTTGCAGGAAAGACTTTTATGAAATACACCTACCGGTCTCAGTAAAAAGCAGCTCTGAAGGACATTTATGCTACTATTTATGCTACAACCTGTCGTGGGCCGAACCACGTCCCCTGAAGGTCATACGCTGCAGTCCTCACCTCGTCGCGTCACAATGGGACCGTTCTAGGAGACGGGTGATGACGGAAGGGAGGACGGCAGGCCTAACGTGACTGGTACCCTTACCACAAGGCACATCTGATACACGCACACACACAGGGAGAACAAGCCAGAGAACCACCTTGCTGACACCTTGACCGTGGACTTCTGGCCTCCTCAACTGTGAGACCGTGTCTGCGGTCCAAGCACCAGGCTCGTGGTACTGTGTTACAGTGACCCAGACAGACTGGTACAGCACAGCGTCTTTAGCTGTGCACACACAAAACCCCACGGGGGCTCACTGAGGATGTGCTGAATCCGGGTTCCCACCCGGGGCCGAATTAGAGACACCTGTAATGACGTCCATGAACCTGAAGAAGGGAGCATCGGCTCGGCCCACCTGCACTATCCGGCTCAGGTGACAGTCGGCTGCCAGCTCTAAGCCCTGCTTCTCTGCCCAGGCCTCCACGTGTCCCAGCTGCTGGCGGATGATCGCCCCCCAGTAGTGAGAGCACAGCCCCGACTCGGGGTCGGTCACCAGTCTGTTGAAGAGCCACATGTTGATGAAGTGGAAGAGCTGAGAGAAGAGCTGGATGGTCAGAGCGGCATTGACCCTGCACCGCCGCAGCAGCGACATCGCTCCCGTGAGCGTGTGCAAGACGTCATCTGTGCAGATACGGGACCAAAAAGAAGAGCGTGTGAATCAACGGTGCACTTTAGAAGATGGTAGTTACGTTTAATACCTAGTTAGTCACCTTTAAAATACCAATCTATTCAAAGAGGAAGCAGTCACAGGCTCATAAACACATACAGATGTTCCTACACTTACTGATGTTCACTCCAAGAGACTTTTTGAAAAAGTAGGACATACCAGAGAGCTACTTTTCTATGTGTGTGACTGCTGTTTGTTTACTCTCTTTTTTTTGTAGCATTTATTAATTTTTTTTGAGAGACAGGGAGACGCAAAGCATGAGCGGGGGAGGGGCAGAGAGAGGGAGACACAGAATCTGAAGCAGCTCCAGGCTCTGAATTGTCAGCACAGAACCCGACGTGGGGCTCGAACCCACAACCATGAGGTCATGACCTGAGCTGAAGTCGGCCACTTCATCGACTAAGCCATCCAGGCACCCCTGTTTACTCTACTTTCAAAACATACGTTTGATATGAGATTTAAAAATTTTTTTTTACTTAAATCCAAGTTAGTTAACATACAGTTTAGTAGAGGTTTCTGGAGAAGAACTTAATGATTCATCACTCACATAGAACACCCAGTCCTCCTCCCAACAAGTACCCTCCTCAATGCCCATCACCCACCTATCCCATCCCTCCCAGACCACCTCCACTCCAGCAACCCTCAGTCTGTTCTCTGTATTTGAGTCTGATTTGTCTCCCTATTTGTAGCTTAGTTTGCATTCTCTTGCCCTAAGTTCATCTCTTGTGTTTCTTAAATTCCACAAGTGAAATCATAAGATAATTTCTAACTTATTTTGTTTACCATAATAATATTATTATACTATAGTATATTTAGCACTATTATTATAATACTCTATTTCCATCTGTGTTGTTGCAAATGGCAAGACTTAATTTTTTTTTTATCACTCAGTAATATTCCATTGTATATAGATACCACATCTTCCTTGTCCGTTAATCAGTTGATGGACATTTAGGCTCTTTCCATACTTTGGTTATTGTTGATAGTGCTGCTATAAACATTGGGATGCATGTGCCCCTTCGAATCAGCATTTTTGTATCCTTTGGATAAATACCTGGTAGTGCAATTGCTGGGTTGTAGGGTAGTTCTATTTTTACTTTTTTGAGGAACCTCCCTAGTGTTCTCCAAAGCAGCTGCACCAGTGTGTGTGCATTACCAGCAATGTGCAAAACGGTTCCCCTTTCTCCACATCCTTGCCAGCATCCGTTGTTTCCTGAGTTGTAAATTTTAGTCATTCTGACAGGTGTGTGGTGGTACCTCACTGTGGTTTTGATTTGTAATTCCCTGATGATGAGCATGTTTTCATGTGTCTTACCCATCTGGATGTCTTCGTTGGAAAAGTGTCTGTTTACGTCTTTTGCCTATTTCTTCACTGAATTATTTGTTTTGTGGGTGTTGAGTTTAAGTTCTTCACAGATTTTGGATACTAACCTTTTATCTGATAGGTCATTTGCCAATATCTTCTCCAATTCTGTAGGTTGCTTTTGGGTTTTGTTGACTGTTTCCCTTGCCGTGCAGAAGCTTTTTATCTTGATGAGATCCCAATAGTTCACTTTTGCTTTTGTTTCCCTTGCCTCTGGAGACATGTCAAGTGAGAAGTTGCTGCAGGCAAGGTCCAAGCGGCTGTTGCCTCTGTTCTCTTCTAGGATTCTGATGGGTTCCGGTCTTACATTTAGGTCTTTCATCCATTTTGAGCTTATTTTTGTGTATGGTGTAAAAGATGGTCCAGGTTCATTCTTCTGCATGTCGCTGTCCAGTTTTCCCAACACCATTTGCTGAAGAGACAGTCTTTATTCCAATGAATATTCTTTCTAGCTTTCTCTAAGATTAGCTGGCCATAACGTTTGTGGGTCCATTTCTGGGTTCTCTATTCCATTAATCTGAGCGTCTGTTCTTATGCCAGTACCAGACTGTCTTGATGATTACAGTGTAGTAATACAGCTTCAAGTCCAGAATTGTGATGCTTCCAGCTTTGGTTTCCCTTTTTATTACTTTGGCTATTTGGGATCTTTTCTGGTTCCATACAAATTTTAGAATTGTTTGTTCTAGATCTGTGAAGAATGCTGGTGTTATTTTGATATGGATTGCACTGAATACGTAGATTGCGTTGATAGTATTTGACATTTTAGCAGTATTTGTTCTTCCAATCCAGGAGCATGGAATGTTTTTTCCATTTCTTTGTCTCTTCCTCAATTTCTTTCATAAGCTTTCTATAGTTTCAAGCGTATAGATTTTTCACCTCTTTGGTTAGATTTATCCCTAGGTATTTTATGGATTTTGGTGCAGTTGTAAACTGGATCAATTCTTTGATTTCTCTTTCTACTGCTTCATTATTGGTGTATAGAAATGCGGCAGATTTCTGTACACTGATTTTATATACTGTGACTTTGCTGAATTCATGTATCAGTTCTAGCAGGTTTTTGGTGGAGTCTTTTGGGTTTTTCACATTCTGCGAAGAGTGAAAGTTTGACTTCTTCCTTGCGGATTTGAATGCCTTTTCTTTTTGTTGTCTGTTGAGGCTAGAACTTCCAACACTACCTTGAACAATAGTGGTGAGAGTGGACATTGCTGCTGTGTTCCTGACCTTAGGGGGAAAGTTCTCAGTTTTTCCCCATTGAGGATATTAGCTGTGGGTCTTCTATATAAGGCCTTTATGATCTTGAGTTATGTTCCTTCTATCCCTGTTTTCTTGATGGTTTTTAATTAAGAAAGAAAGCTATTATTTTGTCAAATGCTTTCTCTGCATCTATTGAGAGGATCATGTGGTTCTTATCATTTATTAATGTATCACACTGATTGATTTGTGGATAATGAACCAGCCCTGCAGCCCAGAAATAAATCCCACTTGATCATGGTGAATAACTCTTTTCATGTATTGTTTGATTTGGCTTGTTAGTTTCTTGCTGAGAATTTCTGCATCCAAGTTCATGAGGGAATTGGTCTGTAGTTCTTTTTAGTGGTGTCTCTGTCTGCTTTTGGAATCAAGGTAATGCTGGACTCCTAGAAGAAGTTTGAGTTTTCCTTCCATTTTTGTTTTTTGGAAAAGTTTCAAAAAAATAGGTGTTAACTCTTCTTTAAATGTTTGGTAGAATTCCCCTGGAAAACCATCTGGCCCTGGACCCTTGATTATTAGGAGACTGATTACTGATTCAATTTCTTTAATGTTTATAGGTCTGTTCAAACTTTCTATTTCTTCCTGTTTCAGTGCTAGTAGTTTATTATGTTTCTAGGAATTTGTCCATTTCTTCCAGACTGCCCAATTTGTTGGCATATAATTGTTCATAATATTCTATTATTGTTTATGTTTCTGTGCTGTTGGTTATGATATCTCCTCTTTCATTTGTGATTTTATTTGCATCCTTTCCTTCGTCTTTTTGATAAATCTGGATAGGGTTTATCAATTTTGTTAATTCTTTTAAAGAATCACCTCCTGGTTTCGTGGGTCTGCTTTACTGTTCTTCTGATTTCAGTATCATTGATTTCTGCTCTTATCTTTATGATTTTGCTTCTTCTGCTGGCTTTAGACGTTATATGGTGTTCTTTTTCCAGCTTGCCTTCATGTGTACTTGAGACGCTTCTTCCCTCTTTAGAAGGCCTGGGTTGCTACAAGCCGCCCTCTTATGACCGCCTCTGCTGCATCTCAGGGGTTTTGGACTGTCATATTTTCATTTTCACTGGCTTCCATTACTTTTTAATTTTAACTTCAATTTCTTGGATAACCCATTCATTCTTTAGTTGTATGTTCTTTAATCTCCAAGTATCTGTGGTCTTTCCAATTTTTTTCTTGTGGTTGATTTCAGGTTTCATAGTGTTGTAGAGTGAAAATATGCAAGGTATGACAGGATCTCGATCTTTTTGTATTTATTGAGGGGCTGATTTGTGACCCCATATGTGATCTCTTCTGGAGAATGTTCCATGTGTACTCGAGAAGAACGTACAGAATGATATGCTGCTTTATGATGAAATGTTCCGAACATATCTGTTAAGTCCATCCGGTCCAGTCATTCAAAGCCATTATTGTTGATTTTCTGCTTGGATGAGCTGTCCATTGCTATAATGGGGTGAAGTCTCCTATTGTTATGGTATTTATTGTCAATGAATTTATATTTATGGTTGATTATATATCTGGGTGCTCCCAACTCGGTGCATATTTACAATTGTTAGCTCTTCTTGGTGGACAGACCCCTTAGTTATAACACCCGTCTTCATCTATTGTTACAGTCTTTGTTTTAAAATCTAGTTGGTCTGGAGCACCTGGATGGCTTAGTCGGTTAAGCGTCCGACTTTCGCTTAGGTCATGATCTCGCGGTTCGTGGGTTCGAGCCCCGCGTCGGGCTCTGTGCTGACTGCCAGCTCAGAGCCTGGAGCCTGTTTCAGTCTGTGACTCCCTCTCTCTCTGACCCTACCCTGCTCACGCTGTCTCTCTCTCTCTCTCCTAGAAATAAACATTAAAAAAAATTTTTAAAAAAATCTAGTTGGTCTGATATAAATACGGCTACTTGGGCTTTCTTTTGATGACCATTAGCATGATAGACGGTTCTCCATTCCCTTACTTTCAATCTGCAGGTGTCTTAAGGTCTAAAATAAGTCTTGTAGACAGCATAAAGATAGGTCTTATTTTCTTATCCATTCTGATATTCTATGTCTTTTGATTGGAGTATTTAGTCCATTTATATTTAGGGTGATTATTGAAAGATACGAATTTAGTGCCCCTGTGCCAGTTATAGAGTTGGTGTTTTGGGTGATGTCCTCTGGTCCTTTCTAGTCTTTGGTGTTTTGGTCTTTTGTCTTTTTACCACCCAAAGAGCCCCTCTTAATATTTCTTGCAGGGCTGGTTAGTGGTTACGAACTCCTTTAGTTTGTCTGTCTGAGAAAACTCTACTTCTATTCTGAATGACAGCCTTGCTGGATAAAGAATTCTTGGCTGCATATTTTTTGGATTCAGCACACTGAATATGTCTTGCCACTCCTTTATGGCCTGCCAAGTTTCTGTGGACAGATCTGCTGCAAACCTGATCTCTCTTCCCCTGTAAGTTAAGGACCTTTCCCCCACCTTGCTGCTTTCCTAATTCTTTCCTTGTCTGTGTATTTTGTGAGTTTGACTATTATATGCCTTGGTGACAGTCTGTTTTTGTTGAGTCTAATGGGAGTTCTCTGTGCCTACTGGATTTTGATGTCTGTGTCCTTCCCCAGGTTAGGGAAGTTTTCAGCTATAATTTGCTCACAAAAACCTTCTGCCCTTTTTTCTGTCTCTTCATCTTCTGGAACTCCTATGATTTGGATATTATTCCTTTTTAATAAAAGTCGCTAAGTTCTCTAAGTCTTGTATCGTGATCTTTTTCCTTTATTTCCCTCTTTTTTTCTGCTTCATTATTTTCAATAATTTAACCTTCTATCTCACGGATTTCCTGCTCTGCTTCATCCATCCTTGCCGTTGTAGCATCCATTCAAGATTGCACCTCAGCTACAGCTTTAATTTCTGCTTGACTAGATTTTAGTTCTTTTATCTCTGAGAAAGGGATTCTCTGGTGTCTGCCATGTTTCTTTTCAAACCTACCTAGTATTCTTTCAATTGTGGTTTTAAATTCCAGTTCAGACATCTTACTTATACCTATGTTGATTAAGTCCCTGGCTGTCATTTGTTCATGTTCTTTCTTTTAGGGTGAATTCTTTCATCTGGTCACTTTGCAAAAAAATAAATAAAACCAAATTAAAAAATTAAAATTAAAAACAAAATAAAAATCCAATAAAGGAAGCTAGATCCTAAGTGTGTTTCAGTCTGCTTATTGAAAGGAGCTTTATGGAATATTAAAAAAAAAAAAGAGAGAGAAACAAAAAAGTTTTTAAAAAGTCAGAAATTTAAAATCTTAAACCGTAAAATAAAATAGGTTAAAAAATTTTTAAATTTGCTTTCTGTATCCAAGAGGGAAAAAAAAAACCCCAACAATTTAAGCAAAGAAAACAAGTGAACCAGCAAACAGAATGAAACCTGAGTGAAGTTGCATCCAGTTTCCCCTAGAACTGAAACCGCGAAGCCCTCTATAGTCCATACACTACGCAGAGACAGGGACGTGCGCTGATATTCTGGGGATTGTGTCTGGTTGGCGCAGGTGGGCGGGGCTTGGTGGAATGGCTCTGTTCTCCACTAGGTGCCGCCGCTACTTAGCTTAGCTTACTGGGGTGGATCAGGAGAGGTGGAAATGGCTCCCCCCAGCTCTTAGTCTGTCGTGCAAGAACTTTCCACACTTGGTGACCCGCAATTAAGCGTCCCTTTGTCTTAGGCCTCTTCTACTCCCTGCCTCTACCCTGTACGTGTCCAAGCCATCCGCCTGTCAGGCAGCACCTCCCGCCTGAGTTTCATCTCAGATGGGGTTGTTTCAAAACTCCACACTTCAGAGACCCCTGCAGCTTGGACCCGTATTGACTTTCTAGGGAAGGGTCTCACTGAGCAATGGCTGGGTGCTGGCTTGCCCAGAAGATGTCTGTGCAATTGCGGAGAGGCAGAGGTTCAGAGATTACGGCAAATCACAACACACAGCTGGTGCGAGGTTTCACTACACTCTGTCTGGTGTCTTTGTCTCAATACCAGCAAACGTGGCAGCTCTCTGGGGTCCACTGGGGACCTTTGCCTGTGAGGAGGTCCTACGGCCTCTACCAGATGCATAGTGAGAGCTAGTCTTAAACCAAACAGATGGTAGTTACAACTTCTTAAAGAATGCCAAACCCAACAGGTCATCTCATTTATTTTTAAAATACATGTTTCTTGTGCATATTAAGTATTAAAATGAAGTTAAACAAGAAGGAGGGAAGAAGGAAAGCAGAGAGAAGGAGGGAGAAGGAGTAATGGAGGAAGAAAGGAGAAAACAAATATTCTAACCTATTTTTGGTCTTTGTAGACTGTTCTCTTCGGGGTCATCCAGAAAAGCCGGCATATAATTATTCAGTTCTGACTGAAGACAATGAACCAGATATCTGAAAACATGTAAACAATTTTAATAATCTCAGCAGGACACACTGCTATTGTTAGACGTGGCATCATAGACGAAACAGTTTAAACTGTTTAGCAATATTTTCCATGTAAAATACAACAGTTTTACTCTCAGGATTCTTGAAACATAGCTCAGTAACTTCATTTTACTCAATCAACACATTTGGCATATATTTGTGCTTTTGATATTCATCTTCAGCTAGGGTAAATAAAACCCCTTAAAAATCTCTATGGAACAGTGTAATCTCCAAGAGCGTGTTCCTTACTTAAACGCCATTTGAACCAAGTGTGCTAAAACGTCTTGGGCGTCCAGTGTGATTCGACTAAGGTCTCGGTCCTGCTTAATGAAGTTGAGGAGCTCAGATGCATTGGCCATCCAGAAAGCAAGTGCCCCTGCGATATTCTTCTGTTTCTGTAGACAGAACACATTCCTATAAGCAACCTCAAGACAAATAAAAAGTATGAAAATAAAAAGGAATGCTCTTGAAAAGGTGCTGAAGATAGACCAGTACCTTCCCCTTCTCACCAAGGTATTTACCACAGATACCAGATATTTGCAAAGGAATTTGGATACATACATAGCAATGAAATTGCAACATCTTCTTGGGATTCATGTATGGATACATGGATCCAATTAGCTACAATTTACGGAATCAGTGGAAAAACAGAAATATCAAATCATGCGACTCCCAATTGGAGATGGTGCTTTATCTGGTAATCTGTGAAGTATACACGCATCTATCCATGGTTACCCACAGCCACCCTGATACTTGCAGTCACTGGCTGAGATGCCGAGCAACTCAGTATCAAGTACTGATCTATCACATCATCTCCCGACCACATGTGCAGGCCAGGCAACTTCAGATGAGATCCAAAGAATAGGAACCAAGGATAAACAAGAAAGAGGAGAAACAGAACTTTTGTCATTTCATATCCACACTGAGTGCATTAAGCAGAAATTATGAAATGCTGATAAGGGTTGCACAGTCAAAAAAGGATTTAGTGCTGCATGTTTCAGTTGCTGAATGAGTGTTATGAGGCGCCCGGTCCGGTTGCTGGATTTGTGTTTGGCATGGAAGCAGCGCGAGAGACTCAGCTAAGCCGACACAGCTGGGACCAGTTCCCAGCAGCGCATCCTACCTGATCAACCTGGTCTACTTCCTGGAGAGAAACAGACGAGGGGAAATCAAGCAGAACGAGAGAAAGAAACTTGTAAACAATCATGATAGTTAAAAAAAAAAAAATCAAAACACTAATATGAAGGCACGACACGAAGGTACGACATTTAGTTATGTTATTCCCAAATTATACGTTCATTCACGGCTCTGCTGCATCTTGGGAAGTATATGACATGAGGGATTCGTTTTATGTTCGTACACTGGAGCAGTGAGAGAGGGCACTCCTAGTTTATTCAGGGGAGATGTTATAATATACCCACGAACACACTGATCTCCTTAAAAGATTTCTAACACAAAGGACTTCTTAATGTCTTTTAATGATATTGTGTGTCTGACTAGTTAAAGGTACGTGAGATGAGTGTCTGTCTCTGGATTAACAGGATGAAAGAGATAGAAAAGATCAACATAACCAGTAAAAATAAGGCAATTAAAAAATGTATAAAAAAACATAACTACTAAAATGGAGTAAACTGGTTTCTGAAAGTAGGTTTTTACAAATCAAAGCACTTATTACTATAGTTCTTTCCCCAAATTTTAAGTCCTCCAATCACATACTAACCCTAAATCTGAGGTCGAAAAGACCTGTTTTGATAATGATGCTCTCACAGACTAGTTCAAATTCAACAAGAAAAAGTCTATCAAAAGTAGTCTGAGGACAGGAGTTTCCCAATTTGAAGCAGGCTTCAGAAGTGCAAACATGATGGAAGACAAGACAATGGCTTTGAACCAGAAGAAAACTAGTAAGAGAGGAACAAAATGGTACCTAAATAAAATGACAACACTCTTCTATTTTCTCACTTGGGTAAAAGAATCGTAAGCCCATTAGATTCATATGCTAGTCACTCAAACATAACAGAAACATTTCTTGAAAAATTTTGGCCATTGGAAACAATTCTAAAGGAATTAACAGATTAGTTAGCTCACGTTACCCTCAGAGAAAAACAACCAAACCATCTAATCATGTTGCTTAAAGATACATAACTCGAGTTATATATTTTATGGCTGGATAATGGCACTGAAAATGATTTCGGAAAACTTTTAAAAGATCTGAAAATTTACTTCTAAGGACTTTAAAGATTAAATCTTCAAGTTGTGTGTGATTTGGAAAACTGCTATGCCAATTTTACCAACTATAGATGAAGAGGACTTGAAAAGAAACACACCCTTCTTAAGAGAGAATACCCTTACTTCCTTAAACTTTCAAAATAGTTTTATGAAAGAATTTGAACAGGACTTTCATCATATTTGAGAAATGTTGTCATGTCCATCATATCTACACAAGTGCTATCAAAAAACCCAGAGAGTTCCTACCAGCAGCATATGCTCCTTATAAAAGGGCAAATGCCTCCTCATAGCCCTTACATAATTCTGAGCAGGGGGCCACCGGGGTGGGGGAGGGTTATGAGGGAGGCGGCTGAGTGGGCACAGATGGGGCTTTGCGGTGGGTGAAAGACATGTTCTGGAATCGGAAGGGGTGGCTGCACAACAGTGTGAATGACCTAAATGCTGCTGAATTGGTCACTTTAAAATGGTTAATTTTACCTTCATGTGAAATTCACCTCAACGAAGTTATTTTTTTAATTCTAAGAAAACCCACAAGTGTCAGTATTTTCTCACAACTATCGCACTTTTTACCGTGATTGTTACTTTACCACATACAGTTTACTTTCCCTTATTCTAACACTTGTAGAAAGAAATAGAAGAAAAGGTTACATTCCTTTTCAACTTTTCAAGCTCTACAATTTTCAGGGCTACTTCTAACAGCTTTCATTTCAGAAAAGCCTCTCAAAGTCAAACACATAAGCGAACGGAGACAATGCGGACTGGCTTCGCTCACACATGCGAACAAGAAGCACACGCACCGAAGCAGCGTGGCCCGGCGTGCTGGCGCTTACCTGAATCACCCCCTCCATCATGCTCACCATCTTGTTGACTATGGCAATCACTTTGTGAGTACGCTCTGTAGGACTGACATCGGGTCTGTACTGGCTTGACAATACATACCGACATGCCATATATAATACATATGTAGGTGACAACTTAAAATGGACTGTAGAGCTATTAGTATAATTTATAATGGCAGATAAAAATGAATCTTCAGCTGTGAAAAGATTTCAAAAAAGAAGAAAAAGAAAAAAAAAACAAAAAAAACCCATGAAAATCAGATGGAGAAAAATGGAACAAGAAATAATTCACTAACAATGGAATCTGAAATTACTCACAACTTTCCCTGAATTCAATGCTTGCGGGCAGTATGAGTTCAGGCCCAGGAGCATCCTGAGTTCTGAAAAGAGAAAGAGGCCATCTCTTAACCTCAGGTCACTTGGCCAGTAATAGTCAACTTACACAGGCTTCTGCAGCTGTTCTCAAAATCTCTACACAGTTCTTCACATTGTAAACAGCCCAATGACGTGTTTTCACATGGAAACCATTCAAATATTCAGATGAACACGCGGGGAGTGGTCCCACCCCCACACCTCACAGACGCCAGCCCCTGAAGCACCTGCTTCCGCCAGGGGAACATATCTGACCACGACTCTCTATTATTCATGAAGACTTCGCGCATGGCGTAGGGACTGGGCTGTCGTGCACCTGCTACGGAAATGGTTCGAGTGACCACAAAAAGGCACTGCTGGGAGACACAGAGGAAAGCTAAACCACGGTGGGCCCGAACCTGAGCCCCCACACCTGAAGGAGAACAAGCGGCCAAGAGCCAGACGCTGCCCTCTCTTCTGACCCCCAAGAGGGACCCTGCAGATCCCAGCAGTCGCTCAGTGCTGGCATTCCTCAAGCTCACAGTGAAGCACTCCTTTAAAAAAAAAAAAAAAAAAAAAAAAGACCTCCTACTCACATTTCTAATTAAAGTCACATAAACTCCAGACACTTTTCATCGTCTAGCCTGACACTATAAAAACAAGGAACCACCAGAAAAGTAAACTGAGAGCAACTATAATCTGGAACACTTCTCAGAAGTAGCACTACACTAATGTTTATGCATTTCCAGGTATCCTGATCAAAGTAGTTCAAAGCTTAGGGGCGTTTCTGTTTCTAGAAGAGTCCTTCAAACAGTGGCTCACCCTGCGCCCATGGGGAAGACAGAAGGGTCGCTGTTCTGTGAAGTTTTCCTTTCAGTTACGAATACACCACATGGAGGTGTGCGTCCAGCAGGACACGATGTAAACCAGGATTCTGTGCTGTGTACTTGATCAAACAATGTCTGAAGGCTGTAAGTCAGCACAGAATTTCTAGAATGTGTAAGATGAACAGTCACCGATCCGATTCAGATCTCCTGGCTGTCACAGTTATACCGTTCTCCACGGCGTTCAGCTTAGCTGCTCTTTCACACAGATGTGAGATTCGAATCTCAAGCAATTTAATTATTACTCTATGTTAGTCTGCTACTAACTATATTTTGTGTACAAGCCAGATAAGTCCCGTCGCCCTAACACACTGGCAAGTGATTAGGTTCCTTACGAGTTTAAATCTTTATCATTTTAGTTCAGCTTTAACAGAGATGATCAGGATAAACTTTCCAAAAATCTGTTCTCAACTAGATTAAGAAATTTAAAATTGACAATAAAAGCGAAGAAACGTGTATTGTGTCCTTTCCACAAACCTGACTGAAAAGTAAATAGTGAGGCTACAATGACTTAGACTGGGATGAAGACAACCACTGAGATAAATACTGTAGCAAACAACAGAGAGGTCAGTAGTCACAGAAGCGTCACATGTGGTGAAGTGGAGAGTCAGCGCCACTGTCGGTATTTACGAATCAGTGAGGGGCTGAAAGGACATGTTCAGCAGCAACCGCTCATGCATTTATCCGGGATTCAACAGCTGCTTCAAAAATGAAGAAAAGAGGGAAAGAGCTGACAGTGGCCGCAGGTCTCTACGGCCACAGACGCAAGTGGCTCCTGCCCGACGGCCCGCGCTCCCGTCCCGTCCCCGTGCACTGAGGCCTCGACGAGAAAATACAACACCAGTCACCCCAAACTATCAGAATTGCTAGAAGGACAAACAAAATTCTTTTCACCAAATTATAGGCTTCAAAGCTTCTTATCTAGTCTGTGATTTGCAATTTGGATTTAACTCAACAATTTAGGTATAAAAAAGCTGTTACAGACAGAATTTAAATGCTCAACTCTGTTAACGTGTCTTTCTTAACTGCCACATGCATGGACATCTAAAACCACAGAGATCTTTTATCCGCTAAACAATAAACTGGGTGAGCCTTACCAACTGTCTGCTTCATCCATTTAAGAAATCTGGTAAAAATAAAAAATTTAAAATCTCACTGAAAAAATTAAATGCAGCAGTGATATTTTAAAGAACTGCATTCAAAAAGATTTTTTTCCTTGACTAAAACTAGTGTTTTTTAAGCATGTTTATTTAAACAACTTAGGTTTTTACGAATATACCACAGAAGTATTGCTTATGCCCACACTGTCTACGTGAAAAACAAAGACTGAAAATCAAAGAATCACATTTCCATCACACTGTGACATCAACCAAATGATAACCTATTTACAGGTCACATAAACCCTCTGGAGACATCTGTGCTGACAGGATACAATCAGCCGTCAAACGGTAACATACAGCTTGCCTTTCTAAACACCTTGTTCTAGGATATACCATCAGAAACAAGCACAGACACAACAGAAAGTAGACTTATTATTACATCTAAAAACATTAACACAGCCAACAAAAATCCTCATAACCAAAAGCCCATGACAGAAACAAGGTAAAAACTTGAGATTTCCATACGATCCTAGAAACAGAATTACTGTGACAAATGCTAGTAAAATCTTGTAGCATACAGTGCCCCCTACTGGAAGATGGAAGATTAAAGAACTAGGTCAGCTGCCGGTCACCAAATTGGCACGTGACCTTGGGCTAGTCACGGGCCTCAGTTGTCGGACCTGGAAGAAAAGAGTTATTAGAATGGCTTCGAGAAAGATCCGAACAGATTTTTGGTGGGTGCCCCGGTGCCACCACCGACGACCAGCACGCGCAGTACAGGACGCAGGAGCTGTCTCCCCGCGGCTGTGTCTGTGTAGACGACCCTGCGGAAGTGCCCTGCGGCTCCGGTTCACCAGCATTTGGACTCATCACCGCTTATTTAATGTGTGAGGCACTGACACCCTTTTCAACATTTCAACAACTTTAAAAGTCACAAGGAAGTAGAATTCAGATTAAGGTAACGTGTACTTAAAACTCCTAAGAAAAGGAAATAACAAAAGGCAAAAAGAAGCTGTCTCTTCAAGAACAACAACAGAAGACGACGATATTCAGCTCCATCCATCTGGGCATGAAGACGCACAGCGTCAGGCAGAGACACAGTAACATCGTAATTCTTCACTCCACTTCAGGTCATTTTTGGCTTTGTGTATTTAAACATATAAGGATTTCGGCTACAAATAGGTGAAATGATTAGTGTTAGAGTGTCTTCATATAAAAATAATTAACTACTAAAATACTGTAAACACTTTCTGTCCCCGTGTTTTTACAGAACAGCACGTTTAAAACAGAAAGATGTTTAACTCTCAGTGCCTCCTGCCTCACCGGGACAGAGGGCACCGTGGCATCAGAGGGGCATGTGCAGCTGCTGACAAGGCCTTTTCTTCCAGTTGGGCAACACGAACAAAAAGTCATCTTTAAAACACTGCTACCCTTCTCTCGACGCCAGCCAGCCCTCAGGGCGTCAGTGAGCCGGACCCCAAGCCCTCCCAGGGTAGGCCCCCGGCCCCCCGCGACACAGCGCCGTCCCCTACCTGCCGTCGTGCCTGCGGGGGTCCTGCTGCTCCAGTCTGACCGTGGGCCTCACCGTCCCGCGCTCGGCCGTGCTGGGGGCAGCCGGCGCCCTGTCGCCGTCCAGCCTGGCGGTGCTCTAGGCCGAGGGAGAACGCAGAGCATTTACAGACAGCGAGCAAACAGGCCCCACCTGCACGGGCTGCCGCGGAAGCCCCGATGCCAGGCTGCCAGCAGGGGGAGGAGGGAGAGAGAGACGCAGGGGAAAAGCACAGAGCGGCAAAAGGCACGGCCGTGCCCAGGACGTCACGTGCACAGAAGCACGCCCAAGAAGGCAGGGTCGCTGAAGGAATAAGGATACACACACACAGCCGCTTTCCTTTACAAAGAGCTAAAAGTGGGCTTTCAGACAAAGGCGCGCGAAGTGGGGCGCACACGAGTGGGGCGTGCACGCAGCTGCTCCAAATGGTGCAGGACAGGAGCCGCCATCCCAAACGCTCTCTCAAACCAGCACAGAGCTGGGAGACACGTCCGCTCTGCAAAGTCAGGATCTTTGTCTTCCTTGTTAGGAAAGGACTGAAAAATGTGCTCCTTACTGCTTAACACCCCATGAAGAGTTTAACCGAAAGCTGGTTTAGTTCTTGCCCTTCATCCAGAGAGGAAAACCCACGTATGGCCCGACACGGTCCACTGAAGTCCCTGCAAGCAGCGTGCGTCCCTCAGCACCCACGGCGGATGGAAAGGGCCAGCTACCCATGTTATTAAGAGAACAATCAGAACGGGACCATTCAACTTACACGAAGAAATTCACTGAACCAAAAATATTATGTAAGATTTCTCAGTCTGTTTATCGTAGAAATTGAGCTTGACAACAGAAATCATTCTTGTCTTACTGACTAGAGAATAACTTTGGGCCGCAGCCTCACAGGTTTTCATGTTTTTCATAGAGGAGGTTATCCAACCTCCTTCATAAAAAATACCCCCTTTCATATGCTGTAAACACCTGACAGTGTTTTCATGTCTACAACGGCCGCGTAACAGTTCACTGTGGGCTATCAAAGGTCACTGAACTCATCCTTTATGAGGCTATTTAAAACGATCCACAGTGTCCTGACAGTCACGTCTGTAAACACATATATTCACGTATAATAATTACGTCCATAAAATCCAGTTATAGAAATACAACTGCTCAGCCAGGATGGCAGCACAGACTCCAAAAAACTGTTATAAATGGGTAAGGAGGGAATGGGACAGTAAGTTATGGTATGTTTGTAAGCTAATGTATTACAAAACAATTTTAGCTTGTTTTCAAATAAAATGATTACAAAATAACAGCCAAAGGAAGGACAGAATGGTATGTACGTGTGCAGATATTTACTTTTAAACGTATAAATGAACACACCCATGACATAGAGAGTTTAGAAAAGGATCCATGAAAATGTTATCAATAGTCAACTATTAATAGCAGATGAATGATTTTCATTTTCTTCTCAATTTATGGAGTTTTCGGTTGCGAGCACACATTTTTCTAAGAAAGTAAACTCTTGCTGAAGACAGCTGTGCCTGGTTCTGAGCACCCGCGCGCACTCTCAGGGGGTCCCTGCTGCAGTCAGCGCCCCGGGCGCCATCGCAGCACAGAGCAGCAGCGAACGTCCTGAGTGGGCCCCTCACCCCCTCCGCGGCCACAAACAAGGCAGCTAGCAGCTGGCAGCGCAGGCTGGCACCGAGAACTCAGAATACGGGGCTGTAATGACGAACGACTCCTGGACGCTCAAGGAAGACCTCGAGGAGGGACGTGGAACTGAGGCGGGAGCAGGAAGGAGCGAGCTGCGTGAAAACCAGCGGGGAGGACAGTCGGGGAAGAGCGAGGCTGCCGGGGCCCGGAAGGGAAGGGGCCGGTGTTCCGTGCGCCGGCCGGGTCGAGGGACGAGGTAGCAGGGCCGGAGGAGCCGGGCGAGCCAGAGGGAGGAGCGTGCGCTATCTGGGATGAGAAGCCACTGGGGGCCCGGAAAGCAGGGCGGTAACGGGAGTTAACTCTTATGTTGAGAACATGAGCCTGGCCGCGGGGAGAAGAGCGACCAGCCAGGGTAGCGGAACGGCCAACCAGAGGCCACACAACACTCGTGCCGTGTGACAACCACAGCCGCTGTCACAGCATGTAAGCAGCAACGGGCCGGGGCAGGCACCTGTGTACTACTTCAGATGAAGGCAAACGGAACGTGCGATACTGAACGTAGAGGCTGAGAAAAGGAAGGAAGCAAGGACAAGCAGTGACAGACTTCTGGAATGATGCCACGGATGAGGCACCACTTACTGACGGGGAAGGAGCAGGGTTTGAGAAAGAGCGGCGAGCCCTGCTCGGGCTGTGGTGCGTGCGAAACATGCGCCAGACATCACCACGGCCGTGTCAAGCAGCCTCTGGGGTCTGGAGAGGTCAGGGCCAAGAATACAGTCAAGGGTAATTAACACAGGTGTATTTTAGTTACTGACTGCCTAAGATCACCTAGGGAACAAGTGCAGATAGGCGAGAAGGGCCTTGGGTCTGAACTGTTTCAAGGTCAAGGAGTAGGAGCGGGGACGAGAAGCAATGGCAGGCGGGCCAGAGGTGGACTGAGCACCGATGGCAGAAACCGAGAGCGTGACGCTCTGGGGGCTGAAATCAGAAAGCGCCCTCAGTTCAGAAAGAGGAGACACAGGCGCTGGACTGGACCGTGTGGAGGCCACCAGAGCCCGGGACACACACGGCCCCTCTGACGGCAGGAGCCATGTGGGAGCTGAGGTGAGAAGATGGGGTGACGGGAAGTGGACCGCGGATAATTTCCACAAGAAATCATACTCGGGAGGGAAGCAGAAAGCTGGGCACAGGAGCTGGAGGGCACAGTGCGGCTGTTAAAAGCGGGAGCTGGGGCAGCGTGTCGGCCCTGCAGCTGCTGCACCTTGGCCTCAACCCAGCACAGCCAGAGCGGCCCCTTCCTGAAGGCAAAGGACTCGATGCCGTGTGCCGGTCCTGGGCCTGAGCAGGCCGGTCAACTACATGACTCCCGGGAGACACCCAAGCATCCGGCCGCCCTCGTGGAGATGGGCAAGCTGTCCCTGGGAGAGAGCCGGAGAGGACACGGAGACCGGGGCCCAGCCACCCTGCATCTCAGCACAGCCAGGCCACCTTGTCGCCCGCTGGGAGCCGAATACGGCACCTCGAGTACCACCAGCAGGACCGGCCAAGGAGCAGCCCAGGGGAGTCCAAACCACACTGTACAACCGTGAGCAAATAAGACGGGTGCCACTCCATCTGAGTCCATTACGTTTGTCACTGAGCAGGAGACAACCAGAATGAGGACACGCATTCCCTGATCACACAGACATAAGGGACAGCTGTGGGGGCAGCGTGCCTGCCAAGGTAAGCTCGCAGGTGCAGGAGAGGAAGGCCGCCGTCTTCAGGGCCCCCTGATGGAGAAGGGCGGGTTCTACAGGGGACGAGCCCGGGACACCCTGCTCGCAGGACATCACATGACTCCCCGCCCGGGGCCTCTGACGTGTCACCACGATACAGCCCGCATCAGGACAACCACAGTTAGAAGCCACTGTGAAGTCTGCTTTCCAGGAGCCCCAGGAGTCTGCTCCCAGCACTTCAGCCACAGTGCCCTAGTGCTGCCCAAACTTGGTCCCACCAGGTGACGCCTAGCACCCACCTTGCTTGTTGGTAGTGCTGCCCCACTGTGAACATCTCCTCCTAAGTCGAAAGTCGTCTCCTGAACAATTCTGCCAGATAAAAAAGGAAACACACAGAATTAATAAGGCATCGTTTTTCTTAATCCAAAAGGAACAGCTAAATACCCCACTTCAGCGATCAAGAAATCACTTTATCATCAGCATATAAATCACAGAATAAAAACGCTGGTAAGTCTTAACTCTTCTTACTGCTGTATACTTAATACTCTCAGGATCCTATTTTTTAAAGCTCTATTTTAATAACAATAAATGGAAAAGAACGGTCAAAGAACAAGGCAAGCTGCTTCACCCCGACGGCACATAAAAGCGCACAGTGTACAGGCATCACGAGCCTGTGTGTCGATGCAGGGAAAGCGGCGCTGCCCCGGAGAATAGCATAGGAGCTGGGCTGCCTTCCTCCAAGAGGCAATCTGACAGGTTTCGAGAAGCTCCTGGGCGGCACCACTCAGGCTACAATACGGCCTAGGCAACGCTCGGGTGGCTCACTCGGCTGGGTGTCCAACTCCTGATTCCGGGTTCATGGTACTGAATCCCACTTCGGACTCCATGCTGACAGCGTGGAGCCTGCTTAGGATTCATTCTCTCTCTTTCAAAAAAAAATAAATATATTTTTTTAAAAATTTAAAAATAGTCAATAACTTGAAGCAAGTTGTGGTTCTCTGGCACAAATGAGGGTAAATACAATCCATTAATCTCAGCCCAAGAGGGAGACCCAATGAAAGGAAAAAAAAGAACCCTAAAAACATCTGAAACCAACAGGACAGGTTAGTGCTTACATTTCCCGGGCTTCTGCACAAGATAATCAAAGAGAATGATAACCTCTCGGTTTCCATATTTGAAAGACAATGGTCTCGTTTCACAGCACTATGGTAACTTTAAACTTGTGTTTAAGCCCAATCTATAGACTGAAACCACAAAGAGATGTAGAAGTTCAAAACAACTCTTCAAATTAGAAAACCAGGTACAAATTCCTCCTCTATCTTGGCACTATAATTATAAAATCATCTTGAAATACAAAATAAGCGGCACCTGGGGGCTTAGTTGGTTAAGGAGCCGGCTCTTGGTTTTGGCCCAGGTCATATCTCACGCTTTCATGAGTTCAAGCCCCAGGTCAGGGTCTGTGCTGACAGCGCAGAGCTGCCTGCGACTCTCTCCTTTGGTCTCTTTCTGCCACTCCCTCGCATGTGCTCTCTCAAAAAATATGTAAACGTTAAAACAAAAAGTACAAAATAATATCACTTTAAAAGAGTAACCTGAGAAAGTAAAAGCTTTCACTAATAATTAACATCTCACCTATTTTCTGTTACCAAGATATTTAAAAAATAGAGAAACTATTCTCCTGGTTTCTAATGGTTTGAATGGGAAATTCAGTTTATTCTCTCTGGAAATGCAAACAGAAGTATGATACTTCAACCCCCTCTGTCATCTATCAAAGCCACATACACACCTTACCCATCCCTAACTCCCTCTTATGGATGTAGAGAGATACCGGCAAAGCCTTCTTGACTCCACCTGTAATTATCATCCTAGATGACAAATCCCCTAAACATCACACAAAGCTCATTATCTTTTTCCCCAAAGCTGATAAAGCTTTAAAATTTAATACGGACTCATTTGTACTGCATTCTGAATATGCTAAGTGATTACGAAGTGACTTTATTCATGACTCTGATGATATTACTTAGGTATGATCTTTGAGAGTAAGATCAGGTCTTGTTCACCTCAGCACTCAGAGCACAATGACACATGACACAGGTGCTCAGTGAATACAGACTAGAAAAATACCCAGTGAATAGGTGAATGAATGAATAAAATCCCCACACTGACCATCTACATGAAATTATGCTACCCTGCCAGTATACCATTCACTAAGGCTTTGAAAAACAGACCCTGAAACCTGCAATTAAGAACACGTGCATCGTGTATCTCATGAGGAACTAAAAAAAGAAGAACAAAGCCCAAAGTTACTGGAGAGAAGGAAAAATAAAATAAAATCAGAAATGAAAAGGAGACTTTATAACTAATACCCAGAAATACAAATAGCATAAGAGCCTACTATGAAAAAAAACTAAATGCCAACAAATTGGACAATCTCAAAGAAATGGATGAGTTCCTAGAAACATTCCCACAAACTACCAAGACTGAATCAGGATGAAATAGAAAATCCAAACAGACCAATTACTAGTAAAGAGATTGAATCATTAGTCAGAAACCTCACAACAAACAAAAGTCCAGGACCAGATGGCTTTACTGGTGATTTCTACCAAATATCCAAAGAGGAACTTATAACAATCCTTCTCACACTCTTATAAAATATAAAAGAGGAGGGACCTTTTCAAACTCATTTCACGAGACCAGCATTACCCTGGTACCAAAATCAGAGAAAGGCACTACAAGAAACGAAAATTAAAGAATATCCCTGATAAACACAGGTGCAAAAATCCTCACCAAAATATTAGCTGTGGGGAATAAGTTTAAGAATTCCCTGAGCTTCAGATCATGATCTCACGGTTCAAGCCCCACATCGGGCACTGTGGTGACAGCTAGCTCAGAGCCTGGAGCCTGTTTCAGATTCTGTGTCTCACTCTCTCTCTGACCCTCCACTGCTCATGCTGTCTCTATCTCTCTCAAAAATAAATAAAACATTAAAAAAAAAAAAAAAGAATTCCCTGAGCTTGCACCAATGGGTTAACAGGCTTAGGGCTGGAAACTACCACAGGGCAAGAGTCCAAGAGCAGGTAGAGGCGGAAAGCTCCTGCAGCAGGGTGAAAACGTCCAGAGCTAATTAGCGAGAAAAATGCCCTGTTAACCCTGAGGTGGCATGCTCTATCTTAGCCCCTGGACAAGTTAAGAAACTGATGTGGTGCCTGGTGCCTACAGTTAACAGTCATCTGCTTGGTGCCACGATTTTGTTTTGTACTGATCCAAACTCCCAACACCACACATCTTTGAACCCTCCTTTCGCTCACACACACGAGTTAATGATCACTGTTTCACTGTCTCTTTCTGCACGTCCATCACATTTGTAAGCCTTCTGATCCTAATAAATATGAAGTGAGGACCCTTACTTGGGGCTCTTTTCTCCTCCTGGACATTAGCCTCTCTCATATTCAATTCTGCATCTGCTTTCTTGCTGGACAAGAGAGAACTCCAGACTCAAAGCCTGCAACAATTAGCAAACTGAATTCAACAGTATATTAAAGGGATCACACCATGATCAAGTGGGACTTATTCCAGGGATGCAAGAATGACTTAATGCCTACAAATCAGTCAACATGATACACAATATTAACAAAATAAAGGATAAAATATGATTAACGCAATAGATGCAGAAAAAGCATCTGACAAAATTTAACATCAATTATGACAAAAACTCCCAACAATACGGGTATAGAGAGAATGTACATAAGAAAGGCCATACCTGCCATGAACACAGCTAACGGCACACTCGATGGTGAAGAGCCAAAAGCTCTTCCCCTAAGAGCAGGAACGAGACAAGGATGCCCACACTCACCACATTAACAGTTCTAGAAGTACTAGACACAGCAATTAGGCAAAAAAAGAAGTAAGAGGCATCCATACTGGAAAGGTAGAAATAAAATGTCACTATTTGCAGACTACATGGTATTATCTACAGGAAACCCTAAGCACTCCATCAAACAAGTGTTTAATAAATGAATTCAGTAAAGTTGGAGGCCACAAAATACAAAAAAAAAATAAGTTGCATTTCTATACACTAATAGTGAACCACCAAAAAGGCAAATAAGTGAATAATCTCACTTACATTTACATCAAAAAGAATAAAATACCTAGGAATAAATTTAACTGAGGTAGAAAACCTGTATGTTAAAAAGTACAAGCCATTAATGAAATAAATTGAAGAAGACAGAAGAAAATGGAAAGTTATTCCATGTTCACGGACTGGAAGAAATATTGTTAAAATGTGCATACCGACCAAAGCCACGCACAGACTCAATGCAATCCTTATCAACATTCTGATGGCATATTTTTACAGAAACACAACATAGTAAAAACCTGGTATAGAACCACCACAGAATACTCCGAGTAGCCAAAGCCATCTTGAAAAAAAGAACACAGCCGGAAGCATCATGCACAGTGATTTTAAACTACACTACAAAGCTACAGTAGTCAAAAAATAATACTAGCATAAACCCTGACCAAAAAAAGCACAGATCAATATAACAGAATAGAGCCAAGAAATAAACCTACATATATACGGTCAATTAATTTACAACAAACATGTCAAGAATATACAATGGGGAATGAAGAGTCTCTTCAATAAATGCTTACTAGGAAAACTGGGCAGCCACATGCAAAGGAACGAGATGGAACCATTATCTTACCCTAAACACAAAAATTACCTCAAAATGGATTAAAGAATGAATCTGAGACCTGAAACCATTAGAAAACTCCTAGAAGTAAACATGTCTGGCTCCTCGGTCCTGGTGATTTTTGGATCTGGCACCAAAAGAGGATCACAGCAAGTTAAAAAAAGCTTTTGCAGAACAAAGGAAACCGTCAACGAAATGAAAGGGCAGTATCTGGAATGGGAGAAAATATTTGGAAACCACACATCTGATAAAGGGGTTAATAATAGACATATGTAAGGAAATCACAAAACTCAATAGAAAACAACCAAAACAATCCAGTTAAAACATGAGCAAAGAATCTGAAGATATTTTTCTAAAGAAATACAGATGGTCGTCAATTAGTGCATGAAAAAGATGCTTGCCACACTAAGCCATCAGGGAAATGCAAATTAAAACAACAATGAGGGGCGCCCTGGGTTGCTCGGCTAAGTATCTGACTTCAGTTCCGGTCATGATCTCAAAGTTCGTGGGTTCGAGCCCCACATCAGGCTCTGTACTGACAGCTTGGAGCCTGGAACCTGCTTCAGACTCTGTCTCCCTCTCTCTCTGCTCGTCCCCTGCTCACACTCTGTCTCTCTCAAAAATAAACATTAGAAAAAAACTCTGAGATTTCGTCTCACTCTGTCAGAATGGCTATTACTGAAAACAGTAACAAGTGTTAGAGAAGAAGAGAAACAATAGGTGCTGGTGAGGATGTGGAGAAGACGGAGCCATCGTGCACTGCTGGTGGGGATGCAGATTTGTGCAGCCCCTGCGGAAAACAGTATGGAGGTTCCTCAAAAATTAAAACAGAAGTAACGTATGATCTAGCAATCCCACCTCTAGGTATGGACCTGAAGAAAATGGAAGCACGGACTTGAAAAGCTGTATCTGCACGCCCAGGCTCACGGCAGCGTTAGTTACAACAGCCGAGATATAAAAGCAGCCTGTGTCCCCTGGCAGATAAATGAATAAAGTCATGGCATGCGTACACGGGTGCGCACACATGCGCGCACACACACATGAATATTATTCAGCCAGAAGAAAGAAGTCTGCCGTTTGCCACAATAGGGATAGACCCTGAGAGCACTGGGCTAAATGAAATAATCCAGACGGAGAAAAACAAATACTGTCCATCTCACTTATATGTAGAATCTAAAAAAAAGAAAACAAAAGCTCATAGACACAGAGAACAGGCTGGTAGTTGCCCAAGGCAGAGGGTGTGAGGTGGGTGAAATGGGTCACAATGTAGAAAATTCCAGTTATGAAATAAAAGTCCTGAGGGCGTGATGCAGATCTCAAAGTTACTAAGAGAGTTAATCTTACAAGTTCTCATCACAAGTGGAAATAATATGCATATATCTGGTGATGGATGCTAACTGGACCGTGTGACCACTTAGCAATGTACACAAATACTGCATCAGCACACTGTGCCCCTGAAGCTAATATACGTCAACTATAGCTCAATTAACACACACATATATATACAGATGTCTGTGGGGAGAGAAAAAAAAAACAAACTTGGGTTATCAATCTAGAAATTTGTATAATAGTTTGACAATAGAACAAAATTATATGTTTATAAAGAAATGACAGTTCGTTCTAATCTATGGACATACGGGTAAGCACTGGCATACTCAACCGGTGGGCAGTTTCATGAGGTTTGTAGGAAAACATGTAATAATAATAAACATAAAATTTCACAGCACCTTCCCGTCGAGGAAACCTAAGCCGTGTCCTTGACATGATCCCTACTTCTGGGCAGAGATATAACGAGGAGCCAACTGCCAGCCTCCAAAGCAGGGAGCATTACGGCAGAACGGCGGGAGTGATCTCGCCACAGAAAACCTCTGGGGGCAACACTGGAGGGCTCATGGTGGCGGCGGTACAAAGGTCGCCTGAAGAGGCACGCCTGCGCTTGGCAGTGGGCGCAGACCGTCACCACTGCCACCAGTGGACCCAGGAGCTGAGACTCAGGCATAAAGCACGGCTGGGGGTAACTGTGAGAACTGCTGAAAACCAACACAGAACACACCGGAAGAAACCACTTCATATGATCATGTCTCTGGGATGAGGGCCAAGAAGAGCCTCAGGCGGCAGCGCGGTCTGGTACTGAGCGAAAGCAGCAGGGCTGAAGAAAAGCTGAGGATTAAAATGGAAGACACTACAAATAACAATAAAAAATGAAATGAAAAGAAACGGAGCGGAACGAAACCATCGGAGCAGGACTATCTGCTGACGGATGAGGCCTCGCACACGTCCCAACAGGAGACAGGACGTGCGGACGTGCCCGATAAATAAATACAACTTTAAAAAAGGAATATAAAACCAAGGTCCTCCCGGACACAAAGTGGGTGGACGAGGTTAGACACACATTCAGCTTCAAGCTGGAAGGGCGTCCGACGGAAACGGACTTTCCGGAGTAGTCGAGGCACTTGCTGATTTTCCTTGGGGACTGACATTGAGGCATGGGGCCTCTGTGGAAACATGGAGCCAGAGGTGAGAGGACCAGCCCGTGCCACGTGCCACGTCCGATCCGCCTACAGAGAGACGTCACATCTTCACTTGGACCCACTGCCTCTGATCCTCTTCCTTAGCCAGGACTCCCCACGACGCAGGGGGGCTGGACAACCCCTGGGCGCCATCGCGGGAGGCTTTACAAAGCAGAGAAACTGCCAAGAGGCCAAAACCAAGCAAGCAGAGGTTCGCCCCTGGCCCCAGTGCAGGCGGTGGGCAGTGGGCGGGGGCACAGGCGGGCAGAGGAAGGAAACGCCGACGGGGCCCCTGGTGCTGTTCCCGGCACGCTCCTGGGGCAGAGCCCCTGCGGCAGGCCCTCTGGTGGCTGTCAGCACCGGGAGTGCAGGGCCACGCAGCTACTTTCCCGAGGCCCATGCCCTAGCAACCAGCGGAACGGGTAACGGAGTCGCCAGACAGCGCATGCTTTATAAAAAATGACCCGTATCAGAGCGAAGTCCTACTCCCTCCCAGCTCACAAGCTTTCACTAGATGGGCAGTAAGGACTTTTGTTTCCTGGTGCCAGGCCCACACAGCAAGTCCTCAGAACGGCACTAGGTGGAGCTGAAACTCTTCTGATTCCTTAAGGGGCTCTTCATGCATCTCACTGCCGTGGAGAGAAACAACACCTCAACAGAAATTTTCCACGGGATCGCTACACAGAATACCACAGTTCTCCACCAGAGAATAAAGTACTGGCCAAGAAGAAAATATCTGAAAATAAAAACCAGCCACAACTTCCAATTTTAAGATAAAGTCAGGACCTTTCTCTTTCTTCTTCCCTCCTCTGAAGCCAGACCACGACAACAAGAACAAAGCCCACTTGGAATTTTTAAAAATAAAACAACCTGTGATGACGTAGGCCTGATTCAGATCACTGCTCATACCTAGACACCCTAAAACTCTCACAGCGGACGTGTCATTACCCAGGCTTCTGTCGGGGGCCCTTGGCCGCCAGGCCTCCGTCCACAGGCCTCTTGGCCAGGGCGTGGTCCTGGCTGGGGTCCACAAACTTGAACACGTGTGACGCCCCAAACTGCACTTTCATCCCGCTCTGCAGCATGGTGGTCTCGGAGATGCGCTGTCCCTCCACGTACGTCTCGGCGTCCATGCTTCTTGGCGTGACAGTGACAACCCCATCCATGTTTGTGAGGTCACAGTGATGGGGCTGAATTCCTGATCCAAACAGCTGGAAAAAAAAAAAAAACAAAACTTCCATCACAAAGGACATGGTATTTAAAAACATAACTTTTGGTCCTTTTTAGTGGCTTTCTTCCCAACAGTACAAAAATAAACACTGTCAAAATAGCGTCAAAATAAGTGAACGCATTAATTTTAGCATCCAGTAACTTAAGATGTACTGAGTTGAAAAGCACATGGTCACCTGAAACATTTATTAGATAATTATGGATAAATCTGTACAGATCATTAGGATTACACACTCTGTTTATCTGTCTTCCTGCTGTGCTGAAGGAAGGGATGTTAGGGCAGAAAATGACACTAATGACCTGACCCATCATTTGCCATCCAGAAATGACAGCACAGGGGAAAGGACGGTCTGCCAGAAGTCAGCTGAGTTCAATCAGGTAATGAACCTGGCCTTCCTCTTTAAAGGACACGCTATGCTCTTTTCATTAAGTACCTGAGAACCATATCCTGCCAACATTTTAACTACCGTTCAGAAGCGCCCACGCCTACGGCCGTCAGACCCAGCGACAGGACTCTCGCCCAGGCTGCCCCCTCTAATCCTGAGAAAGACCCAAGCTGTCACCACCTTCTGGACAAAAGCAAACCGCCTCAGAGGAACCCAACGACCACATCAGGTTTCTAGAGGTGGAGAGTGGACCGAAGTCCACAGTCTTCTCCGTTTGCGCTGCAGCAAAGGAAAGTGACCCAGAGCACGCAAGTTCTTTATGTGAAAAGATGAAGACTTTGCTTTCTGTCCCTTCCTGCAGCTGCTGCCGTGTGGCAGGCCCTGCCACCGAGCCCTTGGCCGCCGCAGTGTGAGAGCTATGGGGGAGCCAGGGCTGCGGCCCCCGCGCACCTGGATGGAGTTCTCCTCGAACTTCTCTGTCCCGACCTCAGTAACGCTCAACTGAAGGCGGTAAAGCTTGGGCTTATCTCTGGAGTCAGAACCATCTGCGAAAAGAAAGAGAACAGAGCCTCATTCGTAACGCGTAACGTTCTTGTCATGTTATATGAAACAAACAGGCCAAGAAAGCAAACAAAAGACTGTCTTAGAATCAATGACAGTTCTCAGTTCTCAGGATTTCTTATCAAAGAACTGTCCAGATTTCACCATGCGATTACCTAAGTAGATACAGACAGTTCAAATTAAGGCACAAACACATCATCTTCTATTTAATGTGACTTAAGGTGCCAACATCGTCATCTAGAACCAACATTCTCTTACCACATAAAAAGAAATTTCTCCACCATACAGCCCTGGATTTTTGTTAACAATCCTGAAGAGCAATTCTATTAGCAGATGAAGATTACTGACACATACAGACCTGCCACTCAACCAGATCATTCTCCCAGCAAACCTGCCACACAGGTAGCACACAGCACCGCATACATGGACAGGGTACAGATGAGTTCCTGACAGGTTTTCAAAGTGCAACCCCATAGCTCGCCCAGACCTTCTGGACCAAAATCTCTGGAGATGAGGCCCACACAGGTCTTCTGAAGAAACCCCCCAGGTTCCAATGCCCATTTCTGACATTAAGCTCCAGTAAGAACTACCATTAAACATGCTTAGCTCCACGGGGACTTGGGAAGGGGGAGGTGGAGACAGAAAGGCAAACTTTTATATTTTTTTTTTGGTATCATTTTATACCTCTGTGAACTGCTGAAATTTTAAATTTCCCTCTGCACGAATTTCTGTGATGGGGATGGGGACGGTGGGGGGAGGAGAAGGCAGAAGACCCACCGCCAAGACTTCTGGTCATTTACACCCAGATGTTTACTCACTTCTCACCTACTGTACTCAACCTAACACAGGACATCACCCAAAGATTTCTTCTGATTTCAGAGCCGTGAACATACAAGGACAAGTGCCTGGCAGGGTCGGTGAGTCATGACCCACCTCCGGGCTGTGGCCTTCAACCTCGTTAGGGTAAACGCTACGCCAGGTCCTTAAAAGGCCAAGCAGAGCCCCCTGGCCCACTTCGCATGAACGACCCGCAGCCTCACTACTAGGCTGCGAGTTACAAGCCCTGGCCACTAGCACCAGGAGTGAAGCGCCGAGAGCTCCCGGAGTTAAATGCTAGGCGCATACCCGGAGTTTCACTGCAAAAGTCTCTTCACTGCGGTGCGGCCTGAACTCCCATGCAAGACCCCGTGAGAACAGAAGCTCTGTTCCGTTAATACAAGTTCTGTCGTTACTGTTAGAGCACACAGCATCCCCGCGCTGGCATATTTCAGAAACCTGTCAGACCTGGATGAGAGTAACCTGTACTTGAGAGGCACGACCCCTCATGCGAATGGAAAAACTGGTCCGTCATCTGCGATGCTTCACAGCTGGAACATTCTCATCATGTGCGGTAGCAACTGAAGCATTTTTTAAAACAGTGTTATTTCAACTCCCACTCCAAGTCCTGACTCAAAATGAGGCATTGGAACCATCCGGGGCTTTCCCTGGATGTGGGCAGTTCCCTGCCAGACCCGCTGAGTCCAAGCTCCCCTAGGAATGTTCGGGATTGTGCTAGCTTTAAACAGCACAGGCAGTCCCAGTAAACACTCCCGGTAAGTGCAATGTGTCCGCCTCTGCAGCACCACGGACCACTTCTTCCCCGCGCCGCTCTCCCTAGTGCTTGACTGTTTCTATTTACTTGCCGCCCCAGCTCCAGCTCGATTTTGTAAAAAATCTCTTTCTCTTGGCATTCAGTACAGTGTCTGGTCCACAGTATACATTCAACGAAGATTTAACTTATGAACGGCGAATAATTAGTAACAGAAAATGAAGAAAATAGCATAACGCAATATGGTCACACAAATTACATGAACGAATTACAAAGAAAACAAAAGCAGCAAAGAGATGAAGAAGAACAATGATTTCAATACAAAGTTAAAAAACATAAGAAAGTGAAAAATACCTGTGTGGGGGTGAAAGAAAAACCTGACCCCTCTGCATCCTGAACGTTTCTGCGGGGTAGCTCGTGAGCTACGAAGTGGACAGGATGCGTCTCCTACATCAGCAGAGCTCCAGGTATAAAGAAACGGGGCCGCACAGACTCGCCTGGCCCCTCCTGCCTCCCCGTCTCCTGGTGCTGGAAGCCTCCGGACACACGGGGCGGAGGGAAGCCTCCCAGTTCCTCAGTTCCCACTACTTCACAGTAACGGGAGACACAAAGAAAGCCTTCAGGGGTAAATTTTGAATAACCCAGACAGCAGCGACCGAACTCACTAGATGCAGTGGTGGTTGGCTGGAGTTGGGGAGTAAGGGCCGGGGGAGGCAGGTAATTGTCAAATAACAGACATCTTTCTTTCTGGAACAGTTTACTCCGCTCTCCTTAAGAAAAGGACAGGGACCATCTCCTGGGCATTAAGGAACACAGAAACGTGTTGCCTGAACAGGCCCCTCCTCAGGGTGCTCCACAGACACCTCACTTCCGCCCGAGCACCTCCTTCCGCAGCCGTGACACACCTGGAGCACCTCTGAGAGCACAGACACATCTAAGTGACTCCTGCAAACAACAGTGCCTCCACCAGGTTTTTCTTTTAATGTCCTAATATAAAATTAGAAATATATAAAATATTCATGTAGTTTGAAATTCAAAAGGCACACAAAGTATACAATGAAAAGTACCCTTCTGTTCCTGGCCTAATTCTCCACCCGGAAGCCAATCTTTAAAATCTGTTCAGGGGCGCCTGGGTGGCTCAGTCCGTTAAGTGTCCGACTTCAGCTGAGGTCACGGTTTGTGGGTTCAAGCCCCATGTTGGGCTCTTTGCTGACAGCCAGCTCAGAGCCTGGAGCCTGTTTCAGATTCTGTATCTCCCTCTCTCTCTGCTCTTCCCCTGCCCATGCTCTCTCTCTTCCTCTCAGAAATAAATAAAAAACATTAAAAAATTAAAAAAAATAAAATCTGTATTATGCATATACAATTAAGCAACTCAATACACATTATTTTTCCTTCTTTTTTTTCTTGGACAAGCATCAGAACACTCCTTAGGGTTGACAAATGAAATACATGACATCTAGTCAAATGAGCCATTATAGGGACTCACTCACACACAGATTCAAACGTCCCTGGATGTCCTGAATTCTGTCAACTCTGCTTCTCATAAATTACTATTCACACTGTTCTACATTTTGTTTCTCTGCTTTTGCTTTTTTTTTTTATTTGAATTTGAGATATAACCCAAAGCTTTCTTAGTATTCTGAAAATTAAGAGAAAATAAACTATTATAAACATAGGATAAGAACATCTTTTAAAGAGCACCTGGGTGTTTTCTCTACAACAATTCTGTACCTCCAACCCCACTTCTGGCTCTGCTTGCTTCCCAGGGTGAACGTCAGAAAGTTAGTTTCTGGGACAAAATGTCATTTTTGTCAGACCACTTAGGAAAGGGCGAGGGATGCATTCATTTAAAGAAGGCTGACCGACAGAGTGCCTCCCGCGTCCCAGGAGTGGGGAGAAACTGAACGTACATTCACATCCCCACAACTTACACTTTAGTGAATCAGTGTAATAGATAAAAAACTATCAAATTTTTGAAGCTTACTGAAACCGAGCTTCAAGCATATTTTCACTAACTCTATTTGGAGAAACAAACTAGCTCTCCTTAAATAAAACTGGAAAACTAAAAACACTCTAGCCAAACTTGATGAGTACATGCATTTTTTTTTTTTTTGATACGCACCAGGTAAGAAAGGAAACGCGTTCTCCTTCCTAGTGCTCCCGAATGGTAAAGTATGAAATTAACAAACACATGAAAACATTAAAGAATCCTTTTCAGGAAACACACACACACACACACACACACACACACACACACTAAAAACAGGTCTTAGACTCTGTGCATATAGAAGTATCAAAACAGGTGATAAATATCACTTGTTTATATGTTTTTCAAAAAGAACAAAAGCCAAAATTCCAAGTTTGGGTAATATTCAATGAAAATCTGTAGTTTAGAGAAAATGCAACAAAGAGAAGATGCTAAAAGGTGGGCAAACTTTATACAGCATGGGAGAGCCTTAGATTGTTACACTAACACGTAAAAAAATAACATTCAAAATATAAAAACAGACAAAAAAAGAAGTATTCCCATAAAACCAAAAACTAGCTGTACGATGGAACGTGACAAAGACAGAGACACACAAATTTGAGAAACATCTAAGTAAGAAACTACATCTTCGCTAACAAGACACAGAGTTCAACCAGGAGAAGAGAGTCGTGGGGAACCCCCTAAAACCCGGTCACAGAGTAAGCTTGTGGTGCATCCTGCTCCCCTCCGGCCTCCTGAGCGCTGTCAGACACACACCACCGACCGGGACAGGCCAGGTGCTTCCCAGGGTGTGGGACACACACACAGCCAGGGTGTGACAGCCGGGCACCTGCCTCTGGTTCCGGGCCTCCTCCGTACCCGCCACCCTCACTCTCGTCCCTCCCACCCAATTTCTCACTTAAGACTCAGCCTGAATAAAGGAACCAGACATTTCTGTAGAATGAGCTCCTACTCTGTGCAGCGAGTGTTGCATACGGAACTTACTGATGTGGATAAAGTGACAGGACAGGACATTTCTCAGAAGCAAGTTATTTGTATCAATTCAAAAACCCATGCATAGAACGTCCGGTCAGGTGATCTGGGAGCGCTCTAGTCCCAGCACGGCAGGAAGCATAGCATTACCTTCGTAAGCGTGATAGCCGTAGTAGGCAAAGTGGCTCCTTCTCCCTGGGACTAGACACACATGCACGGGGCCCAGGTGAAGGCAGCATCGGCAGGACAGGGGCCATGCGGAGCACGTGAAGAGGGAAGGAGGAGAGAGACGGGAGAGGGTGAGCTGCAGGAGGACACCTTTCAAAGGATGAAAAGCACATTTCGCCCGTGGCTTCCGGGGCTGTGAGGACAAGACAACAGCGCTCCAGGAGCGTGTGTGTTAGAAACCAATGCACACTGTTAAGGAGACACCAGACATCAGGTGAGTCACCGAGCAGCAGGAGGGCAAAGGTTAGTTCATTGTGTAGAAGACGGCCCCCCACCGCGACGGCCTCCTTCTGTTAAAAGAACACATTCAAATCCAAATCAAAGAATAAACTGACTTTTTACCACCGCTCCATCTCTCCAGAAGCCAAGAGAGACAGCAGGGCGCACGCCCACCCCTCCAAGTCTCCCACCTACCGCCCCTGAGCCTGAGCCCAACCTGCGGCCTCGTACTTGGCTGGTGACACGTCCAGTGGAAATACAGCACTGACCTGTTCAGGGCAAACCCGCATCTCGCAGCGCTATTTCCTCGTAAATGGAAAAGAAATCCATCTCATTCAGCGTGATGACTGTGCTCAGCTAATAGTAACGTGACTTCGGCAGACAGCGTGGCCCGGTGGACAGAGCACAGCTTCGGCCAGGAGGGCCTCGGCCCGGCTCCCAGACCTGCTGCCACAGGCTCATTCACCTTGGGGCCCATGTGGCCAACGTGAATCACACGCTCTAGTGGAACGAGGGTGAGGGCAGCTACCTGCCGGGCAGCCCGAGGCACTCGGGAGGGAGGTCAGACCACAGGGAGTCACAGGGGCGCATGGCGTCATGATGCGCTCTCGTACGGGAGTCACCTGAGGGCAGGGACAGCCTCTCCCACGTCGCTCTCCCTACTCTCCCTCGGTCAGAAGCTTCGCCAACGTGACTGAGGGCAGCAGAGCGGCCGGGAGGAGGGACCCGTGAGCACAGCACACACGCTGCCGTCGGCAGCGCCACCCTTCACCCAGGCCCTACCCCGTCCCGCACCAGCAGGGCCGCTACACAGCGAGCAGGCGGCCGCAAATAGGAAAGGAGCAGTGAGAACAGTCCTCACGGGACCGTGAGTCGGCAGCGGGCTTCCTCTGTTTTGGGGCGGCCCCCTCCCGAGGCCCCGACCAGGGAGGGCGTGACACATGCTAAGGACCAGTAAATGCTTGTCACGCAGACGAATGCTTGCGCGCCCTGGCTCTGCTGCCCAGCAAGCCGCCCTTCCTCCGTCCTCTGAACATGGCCCAGTGTCGGCTCCTCTCAGTCCCTGCAGGCTGCCACTCCTAAGTCCTCACAGCGTTCCACGTGGAGAAGGCAATCGTTACTTTCTAGCACGCGATGCACACTTTCCAAGAACAGGCCCAAAGCCCAAAGATCCTAGAAGTTTTGAAGTCCCAACACACTGGCTGGCCCTCAGGGGCCGCCACTGCCTCAGACGGCCACCGTGCGCACACGCCCTCCGGTCACACAGCGACACCGGGCCGTGGCTCCGAACCACAGTGAGGTTATGTGAACTTTTCAGTCCGAGAACCGAGGGACACAGGAACACTGACACACCCTCACAAACAGCTCATCCACTTTGACAACCACTCAAACGTGACTGACTGAGTATAAAAACTACTGCCTGCTGCTCAGCGTCACCGATCCCAAGTTAGAGAATCGGCCCAAACACGCTTCCTGCATCCGCAGAGCCCGCCTTTGCCACAGGCTGCAGGACCACGTCTCGTAAACACAAATAAATGCCCCAAAGAACCAAAGAGCAGAAAGAGAGGATTCCCATCTGAGCAACTACACACGATCTCCAGGAGTAGCATGGTTTGCAGCTTCCTCTCTAACTGCTAACCGAGCTTTCGCTCACAGCTGTCCTGGGCAGAAGAGTGGCATCCCCGGTTCTGCAAAGCCCTGCAGACACGAGTGACACTCTACTGCTTGGACCCAATGATTAAAAAATGACATAGTTTAGCTGAATGACAATCAAGATGTCATAGACGTTATTTACATACATCACATACATGCACATTACACTACAATCAGGCATGTGTATAAAACACTTCTCTAAGACCGTCCACACCCTTCTCCACCTCACGGCTAACTCAAAACAGCTTTAGCTTAAGGGGAGCGCTCTAATAAGAAACCGAGAACTAACACAAGAAGAAACTCAGGCTGTTCTAAAACCAAATATGCGCCCTCTCATAGACGGATTACTTAGATCTTCCGCCCACTGTTCGTACATTTAATAACAGGATACTTAACCCCACGTGTACTTGCTTGCATGAAATGTGCCCTAAGAGTACATTTCAGTTTGTCATTTTTAGGAGATTATTTTATAAGGTTATCTTGGAAAAACAATTTTTAAAGGAGTGTTATCATTTCAACTTCTCTTTTAAACACCTGATATTCACTGTTTTAAATTTTGTTTTTCAATCTTCATTTTGATCCATGTGAACTTTATTTTTATGCATAAATATACATGTCCTATATGACCTCGAGGTTCTGGGTTGTTTTCTTTTTTAATAAATGTCATTTTACGAGAGTAACTTTTTTGAAAAGAAATGCTCTAAAAAGGTTACCAGGCAATGGAAAAGATACTTAGGTAAAATGCACTAGAAGTAAGACATTTAGAGCCAGAGCAACATCGCTGATGGCAACTCTCACCTGGGCTCAGCTCCACAAGGTAGGGCAGCTTCTCGGGAGGAAGAGCTGAGCCATAGCCAGAGCCCTCGGCTCTTTCCTTCCCTTTCATCAGCTTCCCGTCGCCGTGCTTCTTCGTCTTCTTTGGGATGTAGTCCGGTGGCCTCCTCTTCAGCTGAAAGACTAATACCCCTAGAACAGAACACTGTAAATCATCAACCAGACTCAAATCGGTGAGGATGGCTGGGTGACTGATGGTCAGGTCCCTAAGATCTGCCAGCAAAAGATAATCTAATAACATCCTTCAAGAAGAGACTGAAGGAAGATTTACCCAATGCATATATACTTATACTCAGTAGAAGAAACATTAGTCACTCGTAATCTGAAAAATTCTAGTAGCAATTTGCAAAGATTTTAAATCAATGACTACCCAAGCATATTACATGCTTGAAAAATACCAGAGCATCAGTTTAATAAATGAATGTCTATGCTGGTAACTAATCCTACAGTAAGGATATTTATACACACACATGCACACACACACACGTACATACACCCCATGCATACACAAATATATTTTCAGTGGATCTGATCTTTATGTAATTCAATTGAATTAACTCAGAATCGAAAGCAATTCAACTTTACAACACAATGTAACTTTCAATGGCCTAGAGAAAGTACTCAGCAAGTGTACTTTTTAAATCACCAACGTACATTCAAGCACTGATAGGATGAATTGGCAATAAATGTTTGTCTTTATTACACAAAGGCCCTCCACTGAACGCAGTTAGCTTATCGTGTGAAACTGAGAACAAGAAAATGAGACTTCATCAAAACATAGCTTTCAATCCTCTCTGCTCTGAGACAATGCAGGGAATGTCCAAACAGTGAAGAGTCTGGCTACTACGTGAAATGCCTGAATCACGGACGACCTCTGGGGGCTGTGGGGCGCTGTCCCCGCTGGAGCCGATCCGCCCGCCCGCTCAGCAGGCGCTGGACTCCGCTGCTTAGGGGAGAGCGTTCTTCCACTCAGCGCTGTGCTGACCTCAGACGAGGTCCTCCTACCACTGCATGACAGCCTGCTCCAGGCCCACGTCCCCAGCTGCACACGGGCTGAGTGTGGCCCTCAGGACAAGGGACCAGAGGAGCCGTTCAGCAAGTCTAGGAAGGGCGCGGACAGCCACACCCGCTCTCTTGCACCCTGACAGTGCCGCCCCAACAGGGTCACACAACTAACGTAACAGGCAGAAGTTTAATGGGTCATAGAAACGATTCTTTAACAAATAAAATTGTCCTTTACCTTTGTCACCTGGCCATTCCCTGAAGATCTGTAAAGGACACTCATCATCATCAAGGATGATTTCTTTAGCACCTTTTTCATCCGAGTGCTGGGCTCCCGGAGGAAGCATGACCTGAGAGAACAAATACTTCACTGTGACCACACCAGGAGTCAGAAAAAAAGGGCTCCCTGTAAATAAAAGTCACGGTAGAACGAAGCTGACCAGGCCTTACCAGCAGCCCTTGGATCGCCCACAGAGGCGGCGGAGCGCCACACCCACTCACTTGCCTCTCTGGCCCCAAAAAGGACCAGTTGAGGGTTTTTTTTTGTTTGTTTTTTTTAAACAAACTCTTCTATGGAAGGACTGTATGTACTGGTCAAACTCTGAGCAATTTCCTACGGAAATATCACCCTAATGTGGCTCAATCGCCCTGGTCCCTAACCCACCTGCACATTATCCAAGAATTGTTTTTACAAAGTAGTTTCATCTAAGGTGAGCTCTCTGAGGATAACCGTCACATAACAACAAAACAGAATAGCTTTCTTTTTCTTGCAGATAATCTCTTTACGACTAAATTTAACCCAATCATTTAGATATACCACAGGGCTATTCACGCAACAGATGTTTTTAAGCGTCTGTTTTAAAATACTGCATTCACAACACTGTTAAAATACATCATGCTGTATTACTTTTTACTTCATATTTTTGTGCTAGCCAATCGGTTTCATGAATCACTTGAGAAAGCCCCAGTAATATAGAACCAAAATGTAGGGGGCAGAGGCCCAGTGACCTCACACACCTGCCCGATCTGCCCTTCCTTCGTTCTAATTTAGTACTAGCGCTTCAAAACACGACTACAGAAAATACGAAAAGCCAAGCCAGTGGCATCGGAACATCATTTTCAACCCCCAGGACTGCAACAGAGTTGTGTCCACAGGGCCTACCATCCAAATACAGCCTCGTCCTCACACACCAAATGGATTAGACTCTTCTACAGAACTCTGGAATCTCTACACACGGCTGCCAATTACCTTAAGAAGACAAATGCATTTACAACACACCCTCCGGCTAAAATAATTAATCTTTTCTCATACTGTTTTAGTACTGATTTTAGTATCTTGGGCTTAGGACACACAGTTCAGGGCCTGACCTTCACTCTTCTGCATCCCAATCTTTGTCACACACTCTGGCAGATCTGGCCATGTGGAACTAATCAATGCTCTCAGATTAGGCCATGAATCCCATATTCCATGAGTTCTTGGGCCTAAAGACCAGTGACCCAGTGGCCGTGTCTAGCTCAACTACAGCTCCTCCAGAAAGCCTTCCCTGATTGCTGCTCTCATTTCAACACTCCTGTTTGTATTTCTCATACTTGGCTTCTCTGTAAGTTCCTTTAAAGACACCTCTTGTTTTTGTAACCCAGCAGAGTATCTAACAAGGAAGAGGAACTTAAATACTTACTGAATAACTAATTAAACAGCTAAAATAAAGATGAGTATGGAAGAGCTACACATTACAAAACTGGCGGGACGGCAAGCAAAGAAGAAAGCAGACAGGATGAAAACCATAATCACCTCTGGATTAGTCCTGCCTGGGAAGCAGGACTTGCAAGGACAGAATGGAAGAGAAAACCCAAAGCAGGAGACCCTTAAAGGAAATTCAAATGACCTCAAAAAGGCCTGTCACTATGAGCGCAGAAGTAGGCTTTTATAACCTCATGACACTGATGAAGGTGCCCTTACGCGTATGGCAGAAATGAATGAAAAGGAAAAAAAAAAATGACAGAGTTCATTACCGCATATTCTGTCAAACGCACCGTCATGCACAACTGAGTAGTACTGAACAGGCTCACGGTGCCCTGGCCAACACCTGAGCCATGCCGAGCACGGGGCACGCCGCCAGGCACCAGGTGGAGTCCCTGCCCTGGGTGATCGCAGACTAGCAGGGGCAGGTCTCTGGGCGGCAGCGCAGACCTTACTCACGCCACCTACCAACTGATTTTATTCTGAGCAGAACGCCGCTTACGGCCGCTGCCGCCCCAAAGTATAAGGAACACGTATCTGAATCCATCCCTATCCATCCACGGGCCCAATTCCTCTAGGGGCGTAAGTGCACCTCCCGCGGCCTCAGCAGTGCTCGCCACGCGTTCCCCTCCCCAGCAGAGCAGGGGGCTCACAGGCCCAGCACTTGCACAGGGTGCCACAGGGTTCTCTCTACCTCCTACTTCCTGCCAGGAGGAAAGTGCACCAGAATGTCCTTTTCCCTTCAGTATTCAGGGAATGAACGACTACCCTGGTTACCTGCTCTCCCAATCTGACCCTGGAATCCCCTCCCCAAAGTAAGGTGGAATTTCAGTTCACAATATGTTCCTTTATCTAGGAACCCTAATAACCAGAAACCCAGTATAAAATACACTTCCGCGTGTCTGGAAGCACAGCTTCTCCTTCGACTTCCTCGCTCCTGTTTCTTACTCTTCCCTAGTAAGACCAAAGGAATGAAAGAGCACATCAAAACCAAACACTCGTGATCACCTATCTCCCCCACCCACGGAGCTTTGGGGTGTTTTCCCTGAGCCGCACCATGCAGGCTCACTGTAAAAAGGTGAAATACAGAAAAGCATAAGAAAAGAATCCCACTGTGAGAGAACTATTCTTACCACCACGCTTTTAGCAAGGATCCTCACACACCTACCCCATGTAAGAGACTCGTATTTGAATCACACGTCTTATTTCAAAGTCTTCTGCTGGCCCCTCCCCTCGGGTAGGTAATTGGGACCCTGGAGCGTCTCCTTCCTAGGCGCTACTCTCTGTGTGGTCAGGGATGCACACGCAGGGGCTTGCGCTGTTTTATTTTATGGTGACTCTCTTTCTAAAAAAAGGGTGTTTTATAAAATGTATGTGTTTAATTCACAATGTTTCACAGCCACAGGGATTTGACAGTACGGGCATCTCTTCAGCGATGGGTGTCAGCTTGCTTCTCACTACCTGCCGTTACACATGCAGATGAAAACAAGTCCTCACAGAAACACACTTGGGATTTACCAGCCACTTGTTTCAGATACTGTAACCAACACTTGTCCCCTCATTCATAAACACGATTCTCAGTCTCACACACAATGTCCACTCTGAAGTGGCTGCACTATAGGATGACCGCACAGTCACCTTCCAGACGCTCCTTCTTCACCACCCCTGGGCTGACCTCCCATGCTGGACTCTATTCCAGAAGCCTGGATCTTTCCCTTCCTCGGTCCCCTCCATCCATCATTTTGCTGAAGAACATCCTGTAGTATCTTTTTGAGAAAGGGTGAATGGGTGGTAAATATTTCCTTGTGGGTTTTGAAATGTCTTTATCCCATGTGCCTACCATTTGACAATGTGTTTTTTTTTTTTAATGTTTTATTTCAGGGGGGGGGGCAGCGTGAGCAGGGAAGGGTCGGAGAGAGAGGGAGACACAGAATCCAAAGCAGGCTCCAGGCTCTGAGCTGTCAGCACAGAGGCCGACGCGGGGCTTGAACTCATGAACCATGAGATCATGATCCGAGCCAAAGTCGGACGCTCAACCAACTAAGCCACCCAGGAGCCCCTACCATTTGATAATTTGAATTGGAAACAAATTCACTCTGAATTAGAACACACTGCTTCATGTACTCCAGACTCCACGACTCTGCTACCGAAATGACTGGCATTAATCTCAACCCCCAGTCCTTTATATGTGACCTGAATCTTTTTCTTTGGAATCCTTATTCTCTTTTCTCTAGTTTTTTACAATTTCAAAATAATATGCCCTGGTTTGGATCTTTTTCAAAGTAACTGTACCACGATTCAGTGGGCCTTCCAAAGCAGAAACTCAAACCCTTTGGTTCTGGGAGCTATTCTAGTGCGCTTCTCTGGGAACTTCTCTCTCTGTGCCCTCTTGCTTTCTTTCGCTGCCCTCCTGTAGGTAAGCATTAGGTGCTCCACGCTGCTGATCTAACTTGTTGATCTTCTCTTCTTTTCTTTTTGTTCTACTCTCTGGTGTACTTTCTTAACTTCATCTTTTACCCTTCTATCGATATTTTTCTCCTATCCCTTATTTACTTACATTTCAAACTTCCAAGGCCTCTGAGTGCCCATTACAGGCCTTTTTTGGTCTTATTTACAATGCACTGTCTTCCGTATCCCTCTGAGTCTCTTGGTTTTTGAACACTTCCTTCCGCTTTTTGTCTTATCTCATCCATGAAATAAAACCAGGTTCTTTTGCCTGTTTGTGCTGGTCTTTCATCTTAAAGGTGTTTCCGTGTCTGTCGAAGCTTGGCCATCTGTTCACATTCAACAGTGAGTCACAAGAGAGCTCCAAGTGAGAGCTGTACGTACGTACATACGTACGATGATTATCGCCAGGAGGACTCTGGGTGAGGCGACTGGACCAGAGCTTCCACAGGTCACTTTCCATACACCTCTTTCCCAGTGGCCCGGAGAGTGCCTTCTGGGAGGGGTTCTGAAGTCTGGCTGTCAGCATCCCAGGCAGAGCCTTCCACTCCGCCCTCCCGCTTTCAGTAAGACCCCTGTTGCGCCCTGTTGTGCCCGTCACACCCAGACACAAGGCCTCCTCCCCATCAGCTCGACCACAGCCTTCAGACGGGACAGGTGACACACTAGTTGGACAGGGAAGGAAATCTGGTGGCGTCTACTGCTTCTGAAAGCTTTCAACCAATTTGATTTAGCTTAGCTTTCAATGTGGACTCAGGAGCTACTCACTCCTGAGTCTGTGTGGGCTCGTGACGTGGGCACTGGCGAGCTCCTTCCTGGTCAGCAGGTTCTCTCTGCAGGCCTCCTCTGGCCCGGCGAGCAGGACACCCGTCAACTACTTCTCCAGAAATTCACTCACAACCTGATCTTTGCCATCTCTCTTCTCATTCTCTTTGTTCTTCAGCACTTACACAGGTTTTTATTTCTTTACTGTCATTTTAATGGGAAAAAAATCTGTTTTCTCATCTATTTTCAGCTGACAATTCAACTGTATTTATAAAATTACAAAATCTACCAAGTAGTTTTCCCAACTGAATGTAACTTCCTAGCTTTTCAAACAAAAGTTAAAAGGCGTAATATTCAACAAGCTCTTTTATTTAATTCTATTTAATTCCATCTATAGCTAATAAAAGAAGTCATGGACCTCTACTCTGAGCGCTACAAAATACCACCGGGAGGGTAGAGATCACATACACAAAGGTACACTCGGTCCACAGCCTGGAAGCCTGGAGACTGAGGATGGGCTGTCCTGACTTATCTATAGCATCCATGTAAACCCAGTCACAACCCAGTGGGTTCTGTGCAGAAACTGACAAGCTAATTCTGAAACTTATTCAGAAACACAAATAATATAGAATAATTGAAGCAATTTTTAAAAGCAAAAACAGGAGCCCCTGGGTGGCTCAGTCTGTTAAGCATCCAACTTTGGCTAAAGTCACGATCTGACAGTTCATCGGTTTAAGCCCTGCATTGGGCTCTGTGCTAAAAGCTCAGAGCCTGGAGCCTGCTTCAAATTCTGTGTCTCCTTCTCTCTCTGACCCTCCGCACTCCGTGGTGCTCACAAAAAGATAAAAGACCTACAGATTAACAAAACAGACTCCAGAAACAGAACCAAATACACATATGCTCAACTGATTTTCAGTAAAGGTGTTAAAGCACTCATCTGGATAAAAGAAAGCCCTTTTAACAAATGTTGCGGGACTGACTGGCTATCTGCAGGGGAAAAAATGAACACTGACCCTAATCTCAAACCAACACAAACATTAACCTGAAATGGAAAACGGGGACCAAAAATGTGAAAACTAAAATATAAAACTTCTGTAAGATGACACAGGAGGAAAGTGCAACTCTAAAAGAGGTAAATTCTTAAAGAGAACACAAAAACAACAGAATGCTTTAAAAAAATGTATTCTCTAAAGGGCAGCAATAAAAAAATGAAAAGGCAAATCAAGCCACAGACTGGGAAAAAAATACTCACAACACATGTATCCTACAAAGGACTAACACAGATCTATCAAGAGGAAAATTAAAAACGTTTGCTGCACAGATCCCACTATACCGAACAGAGTGGCCAGTTCTTTTTTCATTTTTTTTAAAGTGCTTATTTATTTGAGAGAGAGAGAGAGAGAGAGACATAGAATCCAAAGCAGACTCCAGGCTCTGAACTGTCAGCACAGAGCCCGACACGGGGCTCGAACCCACAAACCCTGAGATCATGACCTGAGCTGAAGTTGGACAACTAACGGCCCCAGAAGAGCTGATTCTTAAAACAGCTGACCAAATCAAACATGAGTGAGGAAGTAAAGCAACCACAGCTCGCAAATACTTCTGGTGCAGATGTAACATGATCTAATTGTCTGGAAAACAGTTTCAAAGCTTCCTAAAAAGTTACACACGCGCCTACCACCTAGTGTTTGCTTAAGAGAACATGTCTGTGAGGAGGCCTGCACACATACACTCACAGCACCCCGACCATAACCGCCCAAACAACAGGTAGGTGGGTGAAAGAGCCACATAACGAAATACCACCCAGCAACAGACAGGAAGCGAGCACGGACACACACAGGCGCACAGCGGACCTCTGGGCTCCTCGTGCCGACGGAGGGAAGCAGGCGAAAGGATCGCAGGCCACATGATGCTACTTGTATAAAAGTCTAGGACCTTTAACTAACTGATCGTGATGGCAAGCACCATCCGGGATGGAGTGGAGGCACTTTCCACTCCTCCCAGGGAAGGGGATGGAGGAAGGCACTTTAGAAGGTGGAGGTGACGTTGCTGGTGTTGGGTGTGTCAGTACTGGGGACGCTGCTGACTCTAAACACGTGTGGTTTTACTGCCTCTGCTTACTCCACAGTCCTCCTGGGGCAGCGGAAGCTAAAACGAGTAATACACATTTTTTCTGTAGTAATCAATTGCTAAGATAGGGGAAGAAAGAGATTTCTTTTAAAAATCCACTGCCAATGAGATCTTGACAGAGAAATACTGGTAATAAAGAAGTCTACATTTCATTGTGACTGACTTAAGTGTTAAGAATTTTCCAAGTAGTCTGTCTCAGAGAGAAAACCTGCTTGACTTCACTTAGTGTCAGCTACTCAGCCATGCGGTGTAACATCTCCTTGTCTTTCCTGAGTACCAGGGTGAAAGATGCAGGCTTTATCTCCAAGAAATTATGGTTGGCTGGCTACTACACACACCAACCAAATGCTAGTTAGAACTGCAAGCTGGAGTCTACTTGAGTTGGATTTTCATGATGTATCCTAGTGAATACCCTAAGAAAACATCATTAAAAAATATGAAATCACCTATGTACACAAAATAAGCACTAAAGTTACGTTTATATAAAAACATTGATTGTGGTTATCCTTTGGTATTAAAACTATGGGTGATTCTTTCTTCAATTCACCTTTCTACATTTTATAATAAGAACATGTATTACTTCTGTAATGAGACGCAGAATTTTCTTATATATATTTAACACAGGGTTCCCATTTATTACATTTTAAATGATACAGTGTGAGGAAAATTAGCTCTTCATTTAAAGAGTATATTCCCACTTGAGTGTGAAGTTCTGGCACGTGTGACACTGGTAAGGTCAGCTGGGTACATACCCGGGCGATGCAGTAATCTTTGGGGTTCTCCTTCTCCAGCCCGTATTTCTCTAGAGCCTCGGCCACAGCAAAGTCAGCAGGGTCAGTAGTGGACAGCAGGATGGTCTTGTAGGGAATGTTTGGTTTTAAACTGTCTGCGTAAATTCTCAGTGTTCCACCTTAAAAAAAAAAAAAAACATTCAGACATCTTTGAGCACTACTTTATTTTATCCCAGTAACCAAGATGGCTAACACTGATGATTTAAAAAAAAAAAAAAAAAAGGCAATGAAATTCCAGTTGTAATGAGTAAAAAGATGAAATCTTGTGTTCAGATTTCTGTATTCATTTCCTGTTAGATAACAGACATTAACAGTAACCTGCTGATCCAGTAACACTTTGCAGTGACTGGTCCCGTGTGACAAAACTGTTTCTGTCCTCTCTTCAAGCCCCAGTAGCTCTTATAACGATGAACACATTCCCACTATGGCTCAGGGATGAGAAAAGAAGGCACTGTGCGGTGTTCCCACAGTGCTGCCTGTCAACCATTCAGCACGTGTGAACTCAGACACAGACCCGTGTTCCGATGCTGACAACGCAGCATGAACAGGCCAGCGCCCTGACCTTCAAACAGCTTACACTCTAGGTGTGGGATGCGGCCTGAGGCGAAGAGAAAAACACAGATGGCAGCACATGTTGTGAAAGATACAAGCATGGTTGTGAGAAAGGCAGTGACTAAGAGCTTCCTAAGCTCGTGGGACTGTCAAGCCTTCTATGAAGATGGACACCTGCCACGAGCCCTGAATGACCAGCAGCAGTGGCCTCACCACCATCTGAAAAGCTCTCTTGGCGGGGGTGACCAGGTGCTAAGGCCTTCAGCTGGCATGGGTCTGACAGGCTCACTGGCCAGGGATGGACCCAAGGGAAGACAGGGAAATGCAGTCAGACTGGCGGGGAACTCTGCAAACCACGATCACGAGGGTCTGGATTTTACTCTAGCTGAAGTGGGAGCCAATGGAAGGCCTTAGTTACGCATGTGCATGAGGGTGCACACGTGTGCCCGGGCCGTGTCCGGAGGCAGGCACAACGCCAGTGGTGCTTTCCCGAGAGACCGGGCTTCGGGGGGAGGCGCGGCTGCAGACGGAGGCCGCTCCAGCACGGAGCCAGCCGCCCAGGGTGCGCCCCCTTTGGACTTCGTTGTACCGCTGGCAAATCCGCGTTTGAGGTCATTTACAAGGAAAACGCGGATGCAAACGAGTAAGAACCGTTCTGCAGGCGGAGGTGTCCATACCGCACACCCCAGACGACCGAGGAGCAGGCCAGACCGTCCGTTCCGGAAGCCGAGAGGCAGCGGCGCGTCCTCCCCTGCGGGGCGGTCAGAAACGTGACCTTGCGAACACAGCGGCAGGTGCTGTGGCGAGACGGGTCCTGAGCAGCCCCAACGCTCCAGCCCACGGCGGGGAAAGCCCCCTTCCGTCTGCACACACTGAGGGCGGGGGCTGCCCAGGCCACTGTGGACGTCAGTCCAGCTGCGCGGAGAACGTGGTTTGCAGCGGCGCTTCCTCTAAGGGCCTCGCCGGGACGAGCAGCCGGAACACTCCTACCCGTGTGGCGGGTTACTTTCAGTGTCCATTTATCTGTCCACACCGGACGTGGGTTTAGTGTGAGGAGCGCGGAGATGGGCTAACTTGGGCGGCTTCCGACCCGTAAGCCTAACACCGCGGCGTCTTCGTCCCACAGACACACAGCAGCCTCCTCGCTGAGGGACGAGAGCGCGGCGGCTCCCTACCACGGGTCGAAACCCACTCACATCAGTGCACGTTCCAGCCTCCGAGGAAGGCAGGACGGCGATGAGCACATGGAGGCCGGTACTTCCTCAGGACCCCAAATGCGGGACCCGGGTGACAGCGGGCACGCCCAACAATGGCCGTGAGGACGGCCTTCCAGAGAAGCCCCACGCTGTCGCCGATAGTGTCGCAATAAGAAATCCGTGGCCGTCACTGGTGCTAGAACCCTGTGCCACACGTCAGTTACCTGAGACACACAGGGCGCTTCCGGGCCAGCGCCTCAGGGGGACACCAAGGAGTGAGCGCGCCTGAGTGCACAGGTGCTCTACAGAGCCCAGGGGCGGGGCTTCCTAAAGGCTGTGATGGGAGCTCAGTTACCAGAACTGGGGGGTGGGGGGACTGTCAGGCTGACAAGGCAGGTAAGCAGCAGACCTTGCGGTCACTCTCAGAACACTCCCCCGCATGTGACCACATCCCCCCATGGCTTCTACCAACATGACAGCTAAACCAGTAACTGAAACCAGTTACGAGAATGCATTTTTCTTTGCCTTTTTAAAGAGTTTATTCTGACAGCATGTGCATACTCGCGGGGAGAGGCAGAGAGAGAGAGAGAGAGAGAGAGAGAGAGAGAGAGAGAGAATCCCAAGCAGGTTCCACACTGTCAGTGCAGAGCCCGATGTGAGGGCTCGATCCCATGAACTGTGAGATCATGACCTGAGCCAGATGCTTAACCGATTAAGCCACCCAGGCATCCTGAGAACATAATTTTCTAAGTCGTTTATTAAAGACAGAAAAAATGGCTGAACTTAATATACTTGATTTCCTTAACATTAACCACAAACAGCTATTTTGCTAACAAAATTTAGGATGTTAGGGTCTCCTGGGAGTCTGTATAGAAAAATATTCCTACTGTCCCCATCCCTCTAAGCTCTACTTTTTAGATGTTCTGCTAGTTTTCCTCCTAATTCTTGGGAGATTTTTGCTTTGCTTTCCTGTTTTCACTGCCTGCTCCTCCTAACAATGGCTGCCTCCGGTTTTCCCACTACCTGTACACTTTTTACAGAAAGACTCTCACGCGGGCCCAGTGAGGTGCCGCCCGGCAGCCACAGGTCACCCCCACATCTCTCCCTCCGCCCGACGCCGCTGACCAGCCCCTGGTCAGGAGACACGGACCTACCCGCCCCAAAACGGCCCCCTGATCACACCAGCACCTCAACATAACCTGTCTTCCGCTCCCGAATGTTCCCTCATTGCAGACCAGCAGCACCCGCCTCAGGAAAACGGGTGTAATGCAGAAAGCCTCCCTCCCAAGTAAAATCCAGTCCATACCGGCTCCCGATACCTCCAGCTCCTAGGAACGTCGTGCGCCCCTTCTCAGTGGCCCGTCCCCCACGTGGGCGGTGGCCCCCTCAGACCTGTCCTCTACTCGCCCCCGCAGTAGGCACGCCAGACCTGAAGCCGAGGCTATGTTGAAAGCCCTCGGGATCCACACCTTGAGACTCTGCAGCAGCTTATTAACAGATCACATCAAATTTCTCCATCAAGCCTTTCCGACAGCAAAGGGAAACAAACGCGGGTGTCTGTGGGCAGAGCCTGAAGTGACATGCAAAGAGCTTCCTGTAACACTACATGCCAATGTTACATCCCAACCCACACTAAAAGATTTTTTTATAAAAAGACTTTATTAAGTTATCCACAAAAACTGACACTCGTAGCTGCCTCTACCACGACGAACACATCCCTGAGGACACCTGAATATTCCTCAAGGAATCACTGAGGAAATGACCATTCCACTAATGTCAAATTCCTTCCTCTGGCATATGTGGTCCCTTCGGGTCTGGAAAGCCAATGACACTTCAGGTCAGCACATGGAGTCACCTGAGCGTCCCCCTCATCTTCTTCCAAATTTTCACTACCCGTCTTCTTTATCTTTGAATTTTCTCTCTCTCCTCTTCATTTTCCTCTTCCTTCTTTTCCCCCTTAGTGCATATATTTAGAAGTTATTTCAAACCTCTCAAACAAGACAGGATACATAAAGTCTCAAAAGTAATCTATTATTCGTAGAACCAGTAAGTACCTCACTCTTCTAGTTGTGAATCACAGATACTACAATTCCCGTGAAATTCAGAACGAAGACTCAGCAGTAGGGCACTAGGGGTTAGAGTACACACATGATGCTAGGTGGCACAGTGGCGGGGCCAGCTTCGGTCATGGCTGTGGCCGTGAGGAACGTGACATTTAAATAACGCTCGGCCCGAAGAAAGGGAATCATCAGCAGTCCGTCATGGGGGCAGGATCCAGTGATGAGAACCATGGTCCACGGACCACCTCATGATGGAGACGGGAGACACAAGTAAGATGGAGAAGATCGCTCGCAGGAACGCAAGCGTAAACACAGCTCTCCCTTGACAGAGCTAACCTGCTGCCGCATTTGTATACTAGATCCAGTTACAAAAATGCTCTGAGTAGGGACTAAAACCCTTGGACTCAGGCTTGGATCAAAGAGAAGGGTCTACAGTTAGAGAAACGCCTCCCGTCTCAACATTCAAAACCCTAAATAGTAAGTCAGCGAACAGGTGTATAGGATGCAACACTGCAACACCGCCTTGTTAAGTCCAGAGAGGTGACAGCGTGCAAGAGATGCAGAGGGGACAGTTACGTTAGACTGGACATTCTCAGAAAAGGCTGGATCGATGATATAGTCCCTCTAATACAATGGTTTCCTTGAAACTCAAAATGACGATGCTATCCTTTTTAACAAGTAAAACTAACTTGTAAGTTTTAACAAGTATCTTCCTTGTTGAATACAATTATAGATTAATTACAAATAAAAGTTTTATGTCAAAACCTAAAATATACAAATTCAATTTATACCTCAAATAGTCAAGTCATGTGGTTTACCTTTTTACAATCTGTACTTGCCTTATGAATACACAGTACACCTCCAGTATGTCCTGGTAAATGGACAAAATGGGGGGGGGGGAGGAGTATACAGTACGCTGATGCGTAATTAAAGGGACTGACGGGGACAAAAGCGGAACTTCGCTAAGTACTCCTTGCTGGTACCCTCGCCTTAGAAACTATTAAAGTACATTAACTTTCTAAGAAGCAAACCTCTAAAACCAAAAGTAAAATAAAACAAACAAATCTAAGTATCCATCAATATGAGTATACAACTGTATGGACAGGAATCAATTGATTTCAAAGTGACTTTTTTCTTTTCCAATTTTTATTTAAATCCTAGTCAGTTAACATGTATGGTAAAAATGGCCGCAGAGGTAGAAGTCAGTGCTCCCTCACTGACACACAGCACCCAGGGCCCATCCCCTACCCAGTCCATCCTCCACCCACTCCCGTTTTGTCCCTAAGCGTCTCCTATGGTTTGCCTCTCTCTCTTTTCTCCCCTTCTCGTATGTTCATCTGTTTTGTTTCTTAAATTTCACATATAAGTGAAATCACATGATTGTCTTTCTCTGACTGACTTATTTTGCTTAGCAGAATACTCTCTAGCTCCATCCTTTTGTTATAAATGGCAAGATTTCATTCTTTTGATCACCAAGTAATATTCCATTGTATACATATACCACATTTTCTTTATCCATTCGTCAGTCAGTGGACATTTGGGCCCTTTCCATAGTTTGGCTGTTGTCAATAGAACTGCTGTAAGCAATGGTGGGCGGGGGGGCATGTGCCCCTTCAAATATCTGTATTTTTATTTTTCAAAGAAGATATCCAGATGGCTAACAGACACACGAGAAGACGCTCAACATCACTCATCATCAGGGAAATGCAAACCAAAACCACGATGAGATACCACCTCACACCTGTCAGAATGGCTACATTTAATAACACAAGAAAGAACAGGTGTTGGCAAAGATGGGGAGAAAAAGGAACCCTTATGCACTCACTGCTGATGGGAAAGCAAACTGGTGCAACCCCTCTGGGAAACAGTATGGAGGTTCCTTAAAAAGTTAAAAACAAAGGCTCCTCGTTAAGCATCTGACTTAGGCTCAGGGCATGATCTCACAGTTCATGAGTTCAAGCCCCGTATGGGGCTTTGTGCTGACATCTCAGAGCCTGGGGCCTGCGTAGGATTCTTGGTCTCCCTCTCTCTCTGCCCCTCCCCCAAACATGCTCTGTCTCTATCTTTTTCAAAAATAAATTAAAATTTTTAAAAATTAAGTATGGGGCGCCTGGGTGGCTCAGTCAGTTAGGAATCTGACTTCAGCTCAGGTCATGATCTCACAGTTTGTGGGTTTGAGCCCCATGATGGGCTTTGTGCTAACAGCTCAGAGCCTGGAGCCTGCTTCGGATTCTGTGTCTCCCTCTCTTTCTGCCCTTCCCCCCTCAAAAATAAACATTTAAAAAAAAAAGTTAAAAATAGAACTTCCCTATGATCTAGCAATCACACTACTAGGTATTTACCCAAAATACAGTTATCTGACAGTAGTATCTCCTTAGAGCATATACTCACAAGCAAGTTTCCCAAGAAGCCTCAAATTTTTTCAGTATCATACTGTTGCTAATAACAGCATTATTTGTATTTAGATGTTACTGTTTATTATAGGGAAAAGCAAATAATTGTGTTATTGGTGTTAGCTGGGAAAAATTTTTATCATTAAAGAAAATACAGATTTTCTGAAATCATAGTAGTAAAAACAAGCACTGAAAGTATTTGCTAGCTCTTTCCACTTAAACAGTCTGGAAAGCAAACACTAGCCGGTACCAAGGAGGCCTGCTAGCCGCCAGACAGAACAGGGATTCGTAGGAGGAACAGCCGCTCCCCAGTCTGCGGGAACAAATTCACGAGGCGAGCCTCGTTCACACAGGGCGACTCCCCAAGACCACTGAGGAGATGTCAAAGCCTCAGGCACCAGGTGGAAGAGACCCTCGCTGTCTTTAAGTGACAACTGAAGAGTCAGTAAGGACAGTCACTGCAACAGATGGAAAAACACGGAGAAATTTTAACTCCATGAATTCATTAAAAAAATCACAAAGCACTGCTCACCTGTGGACACGGGTAAGGTAAGGGTTTCCGCCCCGCTCTCTTTTGCCCCAGAACCTAACCTTTCCTCTTCATCTGATCAAGGAAACTGAGAAAGTCAGAGGAAGAAAGGGAAAACCACAGGATGTGGTCAGCAAAACCTACGAGACAAACATCCCAGGTTTTCAAAACAAGGATGCCGAGTAGGAGGGAGAGGGAGAGGGGAGAGGGGACGGCGGGATGAAGACCACACACCCCAGGTGCGCCACGCAGGTGATATCCGGTCCTGACGCGAGGGAAGCAGTCAGGAAACTGCCAACAGTGACTAGATACTTGAGGATATCAAGGAATGACTATCACTCTCTCGTATGTGGTAACAGTACTGCCATTTCTTTTTACTTCTCAAGAATCTTTACCTTTAGGAAAATACAGTGGAACATAAGACGAAATACTGACAAGTCTGGGGTTTGCTTCCCAACAGTACAGTCTGGGAGAAGGAGCACTAGATGCGGGGGCAGAGAGGCGACAGGAGCTGTTAGCTGTGGGAGCAGGCAGTATGCCAGAGGGCACCAACCGTTCTCCTCTCTCGTCTGCATATATGTGAGCTTTTCCAGAATCCAAACCCGTAAAAGAAGAGCTGTGCTGGGGAGAACCCCGTAACTAAGCACACCCGTGAGGGAACGAGGCGCACCAATCTGGCAGTGCACACGCGCGCGCACACACACAGCGGACACACCCCTCCCGCACGCGCCCCCCGAGGCGCCCCTGCGCGCACCTGAGTCCGGCCGCCCATCGGAGCTGCGGAACTCCTGCATCCGCCTCTCCAGCTTCTGCTGCCTCCGGCGCTTCATGACCACCTCAGGGTTGGAGATCGTGCGCGTAAAGCTGGTCTCAGGCATGTCCTTGTAAACCTCGGCAGCCAGCCGGGAATTCTCGCTGTAAGAAAATGGGGTGCCAACAGTAGTTTCTAAATGTTGTATTGCGAACAGCTCCATGGCAATCACGCAGGGTCACCACGGCAGGCGCCCTCCAGCTGTCCCCGCGGCAGGGACCGGTCTGCACGTACCAGGTGCCTGGTGCCCATCAGGACTGCGGATGGTCCAGTCCCTCTCCATACGAGCTAATACGCGGAGGGGAAATGTATCATCAAAATCTTATAGCAAGTTTATATAATTTAGTGACTGTGTATTCACTAATCAGGCTAAAAAAAAAATGTACAAATTATACACGTCTGGAATTTCCACCTGTGTTTTCCTAAAAATAGACCAAATGAGTGATAAACATTCCAACCCCAATAAAGAACTGAATTTTTACTTTTAGTAAAAGTCTCTTAAAATTATAGTAAATCTTGAGCTCAAATAGCAGGATTTTTAATTTGTTAATGTCTTATTTAGTTCTGAGAGAAAGAGAGAGAGAGAGAGCAGGGGAAGGTCAGATAGAGAGAGAGACACAGAATCTGAAACAGGCTCCAGGCTCTGAGCTGTCAGCACAGAGCCTGACATGGGGCTCGAACCCACAAACTGTGAGACCATGACCCGAGCTGAAGTCGGACGCTTAACCGACTAAGCCACCCAGGCGCCCCTCAAATAGCAGGATTTTTGAACAACTAAAAGATTTACCAACATTCACTTTCTTGAAGGCAAATGTTCACAAGAAAATTGCCCCAGCAGCTCCTACAACAAGGAATCAGCTGTCCAGATGGGGTTTTGAAAACTGCATATTAAGGTTAAGGCTGATAAAGGATTCAATTTTGATAAATACAGTCTAAGATGCCATTTTTCATCATAAAAATCACTTAATTAAAAAACAATCAAGCTTTGAATCAACCAAGTTGAACTTAAATCATTTTAAGTAGCTCATTTTCTTTCTAAATTTGAGAGGGAGAGAGTGCACACGTGTTCACGAGCGCACAAGAGGGGAGGAGCAGAGCGAGAGGAAGACAGATAAGCACGTTCCAGGCTAAAAGCAGAGCCCACCGCGGGGCTCAATCCCATGACCATAAGATCCTGACCTGAGCGGAAATCAAGAGTCGGATGCTTAACCGACTGAGCCACTCAAGGTGCCCTTTAGCACCTCATTTTCTTTTTTTTTTTTTTTACTTATTTCTAGGAGAGCGAGAGAGACAGCGTGAGCAGGGGAGGGTCAGAGAGAGAGGGAGTCACAGACTGAAACAGGCTCCAGGCTCTGAGCTGGCAGTCAACACAGAGCCCGACGCGGGGCTCGAACCCACGAACCGCGAGATCATGACCTAAGCGAAAGTCGGACGCTTAACCGACTAAGCCACCCAGGCGCCCCTAGCACCTCATTTTCTTAACACAAACAATATGTCACTCCATAAACGAAACTGATAAATAGGACAAACCGTAGCATAATTTTCAAACTCTCTTTTCTTTGATATTTTTCATGTATGAGCAATCTACTTACGCAATTTCTACGCCCGGTGTAACTATGCTGAAGAGCCCTGCTGTGTATGTGGTGCTGTGCTCGGGAGCTCACGTGAGGTCCTTCCACAGGCCTCGCCTTCTCACAGATTACTATCTAAACCCACTGCGGTGCAACCCAAAGTGGGTTCAGTTCCACTCTCAACAGCGTTAACTAGCAAACAGTTAATAATCCTCGACATACACAGGATACTTCGTATCAACCAAACAGCAAAGACAGACTTGGAGAAGTGAGGACAACAGAAGGCAGCGGGCAGTGGGGCAGTGAACGTATGTGGGGAAAGGCGTCTGCGCTGTTAAAGGGAACGGGACCTGGGCTCTGTGGCGGTGCTGCGCTCTGCGAAGGGAGAGAGCACGAGGAAGCAAGGAGGCCCGTGGGCTGTGGGAGACGCATCCGGGGACGGCCTGGCCCCGTCCGTGTCCCGGGCTGCCTGAGCCGTTCGTCCCGAGTGCCTCCCAGGGTCGAGTTCCCCGAGCTGTTCCCTAAGCAGGGACAGTCACAGCAGTATTACTTGGTAGTACCAAAAAGCTCGGTGAACTACCTACAAGTACATAAAAGGGGAATGGGGAGATAGACTGGGGGGGAAAGTGTAGGATTACTACATGATCATTTAAATTACTTTACACTTTCGTGAAAATACATACTCGTGAACATACACCTACGTACTCATGTGATACACCTTAGTGGAAAAGGTCACGTAGAAAGCTCTAGTTTCAAAAGCCTCTGATTCTGTTTAAAAACCGTGTGAAGTGCACCATTTGTGTAGCAGGAAACCCACAGCTCCCTCTGGGCGCCCGGGAGGGCAGGCGGCCTCTGTCCCCTTCTGACAAATCTCTATGTTCTGACTTTCTGCAATGAGCACCTATCACTTCAGCACTAGAGCAGCTTCGCTCAAACAGAAGAGCTGAGTACACCCAAGCTCACTTCTCAGCAGACAGCCGCCCTTCCCGCAGCATACCTGGTAAGGAGCGAGGTCTGCTTCGTTAAAAGCACAAGCGAATTGGGGCAGAGACAAACAGACACGTTTCCGAAGTACTTACACGTCATCCCCTTGGAAGGGCCTGTCATCTTTCTCAGATGCCTGCCGCACGGCCTCTTTCTCTCTCTTCTTTTTCTCCTTCTTTTCTTTCTTAGAGAGAGTTCTCTTGAAGTTCTGGATAACACCTTCTTTCTCCTGCTTCTCAGGTCCGTTGCTCTGAGCCTTCTGATAAAAGTAACATCATCACTATGGCGCTGTTACACAGGGTCACAGACAGCGCTCTACGGCCTAGCTGACTTCTCGCCTGTCGCGGCCAACACGCAGCTCCCGGCCAGGGAAAGGTCTGGGGCATGGAGATGTTCTCTATCCTGATGGGGCTGACGCCTGCAGGCGTGTATTTACCAAAACTCAGTGAATTACACATTCAAGATCTGTGCATTTCACCACATGTATATTTTACCTCAATTCAAAATATGTGAGCAAGCAAGCAAATGGAAAACCAAGCCCAGTAAAGAAAGCCAGAGTGGGACTCGTGAAACCTGATTTTCAATAAATAAAAGTCGACATAATTTTAAGTTACTCTAAAAAAAAGGAACCTAATGAAAATACGAAAATAACTTAGTGTTTAAATCATCCTCTGCTTCACAGATGATTTCTCTAACTTGAAAACAAATACAAGAGTAGCCCTAAGAAAGTGGCTTTTTTGAAGCAAAACTGTAAGTACTGTTTGTGCAAAAACTTGTACTTTCTTTTCCAGATCTTTTTTATTTGCTTGCTTACTTTTAATTTACAACTTGGCCTAGCAGATGACACAGCAGATGACACAGAGACAAAAGTTTTTACATAGTAAGTGGACCATAAAGGATCACGACTAATCAGAAGGGTGCCTGAGCTGGGGACTAACTGCCCTCTGCCACCTCACTGCCATCCTCACCGCCAGCTGCACCCACGCCGCCCGACCCCCAACAAGGGCTCTGATACGAGAATGAGCACCTCTGGCCCACAGCTGGGCACTCAGCTCAACTCACGGTGCCAAGATGAAATAAAACACGGACCAGACCGGAGAGAAGAGAGGAGACAGATGTCCGTTATTATTTTATAAGTGTTTGCTACAAACGCAACAAGCACCAGGGCAGAGGCCAGGCAAGGCCACGCACACTCCTCAGCACAGAGCAGCAGCGTCACACAAGCAGCATGGAACCCTCGTTTCCAAAAGTGAGTACCGACACGCATGTCCCAATCGTTGAGGAGTTTTCTCAAAGCGTTCTTGGCCTCTGCATTTGCTATCACTTGATTTAACCGAAATTATAGTTATTTTCTAATTTTATCCACAGTTCATAGTTCATATCAGACAGACAGTGTCCCACAGAAGACCAGCAGCTTAGGAACTCCAGACATCTGTCTAGAATCACTCGATTACATCAACCAAGAAAACTTACATACAATATGGAAAAGGTTTTCAGGGCACTGAAAATTATATCTGAAAACTCATACATAAATGGGTTATTAAAACTTTACTTACCCTTCTGATGCTTATTAGAACTTTATAATTTGGTAAAAAAGAAAAAAAAAAAAAAAGCCTGGCACTGGTTACCTGATCATTAAATCTCTTAATAAAAAACAGTACGTAATGCTTCTTTGGAAAAGTAAAGCGCAGTATTAGGATTATTCAGTGAAACAGAGAAGCAGGGTTCTGTTTAAAATTTTTTCTGCAGGAAGGGTTTTCAAAAGGTCATTTAGGAAGAGAGGCAAAAAGGAAAGTGAAGCCTTATCACATTCACATGACATGTGTGTTTTGTCCACCCCGGGCCGGGGACACTGCCAGCACGAGGCGGGGACACAGCGTACCTTAGGTGGAAGGGCATCGTTCTCATTCTTAAGAACGAACCTGCCCTCTCGATCATCTTTATTCCAATTCAACTGCACAACCAGAGGTTTCTCATCTATATCCAATCTTCTTTCTTCTTCAAATAATGAAATAAAAAAAAAAAATTAAGTCATGGTTACTTAAAGGCACTAGCTAATAAAACATTCTGATATACGTTTAATTTTATCAACACAAAATCCCTTTTTACCACCAGTATTTACTATCAGGCTGAAACGTAATCAAAATGGCGAGTGAGAGTTTTAAATACCTACTATTTTCTTGAGACTCTAATATTACCACGTGCCCTTTGCCAAACACAGACCAGGGATAATTTCCTTACAACGTTTAGAATCCAACTAGAAAAATAAGAGAAATGCAGACAAGCCAAAACAAATAGAGAGAGGTCTCTGTTAGAAGCCTCATGCTGTAAACCAAACCATCTCCCATGCAGGGGGAGGGTAAGAGAACAACGGCAACAGAACACGAAGTCCCGCCGACCCGGGGCCGCGGGTGAGTGACAGCTGTGCTCGCCCCGCCGCCTCCCTCTAATCCTACGGGAACCACCAACCCGTCTCTTGGCTCGGACAGTGTGTTACGTTCAGTGTGTTCCTTCTCGCTTGCTGGAATTCTAACAAGCCCTGGGGCCCACAGAGGGGCTCCCCAGCCCCCCTCACCTGGACCACCTACCGACCACCTACCGGACGCCCACATACGATGAGGCTGTTAGAAACACAGGATACAGAGACCCACTGAACAAGTACTGTGGCCAAGTTAGCAGGAGTTAATGGGACAAATTTAAACCATAAATAGACTGATAAAGACTTTTAGTGAGTACTCTATGTAAACAGTAATGTTAATAAAAATCCAGAAATAATAAGTTCTAATTTATTATTTTATGAACTGAAAAAATAAGAGCTGAAAACCAGAGCAATAAATGAGAAACTGGATCAAGAAGTGTGTAACTGCTGATACAAACCAAAATTACCAAGGTCTTCTTGTTGCAAAACTTGTATTAGCCCCAAATCCTTCAGGGGCACCTGGGTGGCTCAGATGGTTAAGCATCAGACTTCAGCTCAGGCCATGATCTTAGGGTTGGTGAGTTGGAGGCCCGCATCCAGCTCTGCGCTGGCAGCACAGAGCCTGCTTTGGACCCCGCGTCTCCCTCTCTCTCTGCCCCTCCCTTGCTTACACCCTCTGTGTCAAAAATAAACATTTAAAAAAAATCCTTCCGAGCATATTTTTTAGAGGACTATTTTTTTTTTTTTTTTTTATTTATTTCTAGGAGAGAGAGAGAGAGAGACAGTTTGAGCAGGGGAGGGTCAGAGAGGGAGGGAGATACAGACTCTGAAACAGGCTCCAGGCTCTGAGCTGGCAGTCAGCACAGAGCCAGACGCGGGGCTCGAACCCACGAACCGCGAGATCATGACCTAAGCGAAAGTCGGACGCTTAACCGACTAAGCCACCCAGGCGCCCCTTAGAGGACTATTTTTAAGAACACTCGAGTCTAGCGGCGCCTGGGGGGCTCAGTCGGTTAAGAGTCCAACTTCAGCTCAGGTCATGATCTCACGGTTCGTGGGTTCGAGCCCCGTGTCAGGCTCTGTGCTGACAGCTCAGAGCGTAGAGGCTGCTACAGATTCTGTGTCTCCCTCTCTCTCTGCCCCTCCCCTGTTCACGCTCTCTCTCTCTCAGAAATAAACAAAACATTAAAAAAAAAAACAGTCAGGTCTAAATCGTGAAAGTAAAACAAGATCAAGGGTGAGCACTCTGCAGTGTGTGCGGCTAACTATGAAACGGAAGTGCAGTCAGAGTCCACGCACGACCTAATAGATCCTTCTGCCTCACTGGTTCTCCTACTTTTTTTTATCAGCAGACTCTTTTTTATTCTTCCAATGGATTTCACACAGGGAACCCCCCGCGCACACACACAACGGGTCCGGTGGAGCTTCCCCGGGCGGCCGGGGCTGCAGGCTTGCGCACCGGCTGGGGAGTCCCTTTGTCCCGGGGCCGCCCGCGGGCACAGTGAGCACGGGGTCCTCCCGGGTCCCTCCTGCCAGCGTCGCGTCGGCCTCACGTGGCAGTGCCCCAGGCCCGCCTGGGAGGCGATCGGGGACACCGCTTCCCGCCCGGGGCCAAGCAGGGCACGGGAGGCACAGGAACTGCCATTAAAAAACGGAATGACTGGGGCGCCTGGGTGGCTTAGTCGATTAAGCATCCGACTTTCGCTTAGGTCATGATCTCGCGGTTCGTGGGTTCGGGCCCCGCGTCGGGCTCTGTGCTGACTGCCAGCTCAGAGCCTGGAGCCTGTTTCAGTCTCACTCCCTCTCTCTCTGACCCTCCCCTGCTCGAGCTGTCTCTCTCTCTCTCTCCTAGAAATAAATAAAACATTAAAAAAAAATTAAAAAAAAAACAAAAACGGAATGACTACTGTAGGTTCCCCTTCGTTTTTTGTGCGCTATTTTTCACACATGTATCACGTCCTTAGAGCATAAACACTTATTAACTTGTCTGCATCTAACAACAAAACGAACTTTGGCCCAGAGATGCCGCTGACCCGTCACCGACGCCCTCAGGGCTCCAGGACCTGGAAGCCGGGGACACACACACCGGGTCTCCTAGCATCCGGGGCACACGCGGGTAGGGCCCCTGCTGCGAACGCAGGGGTGTGGACGGCCAGAGCCACACTGCCCCAGCGGCTCACCTCGGGTATGGGCACGACCTTCTTCCCTGACACCTTCGCTGGGCTTTCACCTCCTTACCGTAACACAGTTCACTTTTAATTAAAGACAATGTCAAAGAAAAAGTTATATTTTCTTCTCAACAACCTAGTTATAGTGATTGTGAGCTACAGAAAAAACTCCACCTCAGAAAAACCATCCAAAATTAAGGCTATCCTCTACCGTCAAATCTAGCTTTGGTATTATTTATGTGGTGGGATCTCCTCATAATGTTAAAAGAGTAATAAATACGACCTAGATCTCACTCTTGGGGAGGGGGCGGATTGTCACACCTGAATTCCACACAGTACAAAAAATTCTTACCCTATTTCAAATATGCAAAGAAAGCATCAATTCTTAAGTCAAGACAAATAACTTATGTTCAAAGAGTATTTCTGGATGGAACTTAACAGGTATTTAAATTGGGTCTGTGCTATGTGTGGAATCATGTTGCATTAACTGCGATTTGCATTTTAAGGACAAAAAATTGTTTACATTTATTGAGACAGTGAGATGGAGCAGGAGGAGGAGAGGGGCAGAGAGAGACACAGAACGTAGGTCTTTTATAGGTGACTCAACATTTCCAAACCACTCATTACAAAATGTATAAATTTCTACATCTCTAATGTTTATTTTTGAAGAGAGAGGGAGCAAGCACACACGTGAACCGGTGAGGGGGGAGGGGGAGGGGGAGGGGGAGGCAATCCCAGGAAGGCTCCACACTGTCAGCTGAGAGTCCACACTGGGCTCTAACCCACGAACTGTGAGATCATGACCTGAGCCAAAACCAAGTCGGACGCCTAACAGCCACCCAGGCGCCCCAAATTTCTAAATTTCTAAGCACTCCAACATAAAAGGCCATCTGATATAGATATATAGGATATTTTCAAAAATTTCAAACATTAAAACGAGAAATTATGGGGCGCCTGGGTGGCTTAGTCGGTTGAGCGTCCGACTTTCGCTTAGGTCATGATCTCGCAGTTCGTGGGTTCGAGCCCTGCGTCGGGCTCTGTGCTGACTGCCGGCTCAGAGCCTGGAGCCTATTTCAGAGTCTGTGTCTCCCTCTCTCTCTGACCCTCCCCTACTCATGCTGTCTCTCTCTCTCTTAAAATTAAAAAATAAATAAATAAATAAATAAATAAAAAACACGAGAAATTACTAACTACCTAAGAAAGTTTCCTCAAGACACCCTAATTACTCCCAAAGAGTAAGGAAAATATACTGGCTCACATTATAAAAATACTCATTTTTGTAAGACTGAGGATTCATACTCATATTTTAACTGGTTTAAATGAATTGTAGGATAATAATCTACACATAAAAGCTGCATGAACTATTGCTCCAAAAGCAAGTAGCCTACTGCGCGGCAGGTGCGGACGCGGGGCCACACCTGCTGGCCCGCCGTAGCCACGAAGGGTCGCGCTCCTTAGCTCTGGAGGATGAAGCACGTGTGAAAGTAACACATTCATCCTGATTCCACCGGATGCAAGTGCGGGGACCTGTCCAAACATTTCTCGGAAGCACCAACGCCGCCCCCCCCCCCCCCCCCCACCCCCCGCGGCAAAGCACTGCTGTGACAGACGCGCTCTGCACACACGAGTGGCCCGGAAGCCGGGTACACGGGGAGGCCCCCGCCAGCGGCACGGGGTGCACACCGACCTCCGCTGACGTGCACTTCGTAGAGGGAGTACTTGGGGGACGACAGCATCCGCATGTCAGGGCGGAACTTCTCTGCCAGCGTCTCGATCACGTCTTGCGTGGTGGCCGTACTGGAGACCCGAATGCATTTTGTTGCAAAGTTTCCAGCAGCTTTATCTTGAAAATAAAATCTCATTACGCCATGAAACTCCAAATCCTAAAGGAAAATAGAAAGGAAAAACAACATTCTAAAAAGATTCAATTTTTATAACAATAATAAATAGAAAAGGTCATTCACCACCTTTAAAAAACGTTTCATTACTGCAAACATACGAGACAGAAACTGAGAGTCATGGTTTAATCTTCAGACTGAATCACGGGACTCGGGACAAGTCACCTACAGCCTGCGCTGTCCCTGCCTCGAGTACAGGACGATGCTGTGCAGCAGCCGGTAACAGCTGGGGCTAATGAGTCTCCAGCCCGTGTCAGGCGCACCCCGACACACACTACTCTGCCGTGTCTTTCCATGACACGGGTTAGCAGATTCATTACTAAACCCTATTTTCAAGATTTGGTCATTAAAACAAAAAGTTTAAGGATCTTGCCCAAACAGTTATGTGGCAAATCCACAGGTGAAAAAAGATCCAATGATCCCCAAAGTCCATGCCTACCAGTCCCTGACGTCCTTTCCAGCCTTGAAATTCTAAAGCCTAAAAATGAAGAAACTGCTCTAAAACCACGAGGGAAATGGTAGCTCCAATTCTCACAAGAATGTGAGTAAATGGAAACTCTTAACTCTTGCAGAATATAATTGAAACTAATTTTCATATGAACCACTTGCCCAACATCAACGAACACCATTTAATTTTTCCCAAACGCTGATCTCTGGGGATAAATACGATGGTCTTACAAGCAGAGGAACACCACCGTAAGACAGCCAAAGCGCATGCAACCACAGGGCACCCCCTCCCGTGATCCCCTCTCTTCCCGTTCGAGTGAATTACAATGAAGTTTATTCAGGGGAGACTCAGCTTCCAGGCCTCCTGCTGTAACCGTAAGACTCAGTGGTTCACATCCCGCAGGCTGTACCACTACATCAGAGGGGGTCTGGTTTTTGTTCTGTGGGGGACACTTTACCTGGGGAGCCAAAGGGCTAAGGTGCATGGCTCCTGTGTACCCCATCATTTCCCTGAACCCCGGAAAAGCACACTTCCTCATCCGCTCTCCCTGCCCTCAGCCCCACTGCCGACTCCTCCCTCTCCTCAGCCTCCACACCAGCACATCAAGTCATCCCACCTTCAAAATACGTCTAGAATCCACCCAAAACTCTGCTAAAGTCAGATCATGTCACTCCTGGTGATGGCTTTTCTGTGGGCTCAAAATCCATCACAAGTAAGCTTTTCTGTACTTCCTCCAACCTACCCACTGATTCTTCACTAATAACCATGACTTAATAATTACAATTATTACAAGATAATAGAATGTGGTTAACCGTACAAACTGCAGGAAAATTAAAACAGAAAACAAGACAGTAAGACATATTTATAGCCGCGTAGCTTTACTGTGCTTGCTCAGACCCCGTCCGAACACCAGGCAGTAGTCACTTCTCGTTTCCCACTGCCCCAGGGGAAAACAGAGAAAGTGAGCCTGTGTGTTAAAAACCACCACCACCACCATGGAACCACAGATCCTGGCTTGAAGTAAGGCCATCAGTATGGGAGTCAGACTGCAAACAGCTTTAGGAGTTGGCAAAATGGGAGCTCTATCAGTCCTGTTCTGGTCTCCAAGTGACATAAACTGCTTCTTTGTTGAGGCGGGGAGAAGCAGCAGAGAAAGTCGAGTGGTGTCCTCTTTAAACGTGCACCTCCAGGTGTTACTCCGGCAGTCCCCAAACCCTCGTCAGGTACCGAACCGTCAGTCCGCCTGTAAGTCTCAGCATCAGTGACAGCGACCTCACCAGGCGCTTGCTCGGTTCCCCAGGGGTGCTGTCTAAGCACCCGCCGGTGCCTGGCCGCCCGCTCTCCTCGGCTCCCTGCCCCCCTCCACCAGCCCTACTCAAGGCAGTGCTTCCACTTCCGGGTCAGCCCTCCCTGTCCACCACCTCCTCAGAGGTCAGAGAACACGAATGGCTGTCTGTATTCAGTTGTACAGGTGCCGGCCATCACCACGGAGCCCAAGCTTATCCCGGGTTCTGGGGCTCCTGTCGCCACCACTCTGAGATCGTCTTTACGTTACAGACACAGCCTCCCACAGGAACCGGCAAAACCACTCCGGATCCTCCGACGGCTACTGCTTCATAGACGAAGCGAGACCAGTCAGGCAAACTCACCTCCCACCCAGTCACTCTGCTAACAGGACTGCCTTCCATCGCCCATGACGAGACTAAAACCGTTAGAAGTGGCTACGGATTCCGAAGACAGGAAGGCACCACCTTCTCCGATTAACTGTCAACGAGTAACCCCTAACTACCAGAAATGAAAGATTTGGGAAGAACGCCCAGCTTGGCAAGAACACAGGGAACAACCAAGAACGAACTGAACACAAGCACGGGGAGGAGGAGACCCCTCCGTCACCCTCCGGAAACCCCTTACGCAGAGATTACTACTGTCTGTAGGTAAGAAAGGGCACCATCAAGACAAATCTCCATTATTAACACGGTTCAGCTACTGACCTCACATAAACGCTGAAATAAATGTAAAAAAAGGAGTAAGCCCAAGGGTAGAGATCCAACAAATAACAGTACTTCCGTCTACAGAGAACTAATATTTCTGGTGATGTTTTTAAAGAAACAAATTTCCAGGCTCTACCAAGCCTAAATAAAGCAGCCTCTAAAACTACTTTTAATGTCATGTGCACTAGATAAGTGCTAATAAATATGAACTCTGAGGGGCGCCTGGGGGGCTCAGTCAGTTAAGCCTCTGACTCTGGACTTCGGCCCAGGTCATGATCTCACGGTCCGTGAGATGGCTTGTGAGATGGAGCCCCACGTCCACACCCTGCGCGGAGCCTGCCTGTGATTCTCACTCTCCATCTCCCTCTAGCCCTCCCCTTCGCACAGGTGCACAGGCTAAGAAAAAAAAAGAAAAGAAAAAAGTTATATAAATATTTAGTTTTCCCAGTTACCTTAACATCACACAGAATACCCAAGTATAGCTGTTACTAGAATACATCCTTAATAAATTAAGAAATTATCATTGTGGGGCGCCTGGGTGGCTTAGTCGGTTGAGCGTCCGACTTTCGCTTAGGTCATGATCTCGCGGTTCGTGGGTTCGAGCCCCGCGTCGGGCTCTGTGCTGACTGCCAGCTCAGAGCCTGGAGCCTGTTTCAGTCTGTGCCTCCCTCTCTCTCTGACCCTCCCGGCTCACGTTATCTCTCTCTCTCCTAGAAATAAATAAAAAATATTAAAAAAAAAAAAAAAAGAAATTATAATTGTGTTCAACTATTCAGCTAAATACAAGTTTGGCTTGTGTGACTAGGTCCACAGAATTTTCAGACCCGAGAAGACTAAAATGAAGTCCTTGAACCTAAAATTCTGCATGTAATGACCAAACAAATAATAGTAACTAACATATGTTAAGGGCAACCATGTGCCAGATGCTAAGAGCTCAGCATTTAGTTCCTCAAACATGAATTAGGTATTCTTCTCAAGGGGCTGGGAAAGAAGGTCCACAGAGGGTGAGTGTGTTTACACTGCAACCACGCAGCCCGCCAAGGGGAGGGCGGAGACGCGGCCAGCGCGAGCTGTCCCCCCGGCGCTTGAACTTTCAAACCCGAGCCCTGCAGCCCCCTCGGTTTCAGCAGTCCCTTCGTCCCTGCAGAAGAGTGACGGGACTTGTTCCTCTTCTTTACAACAGGTGCGGGAGGACTTGCAGGAGCATCAGTGAAGAGAAAGAACTCTGCCAGCACGGCGGTCGATGACTTGCCGCAACCACCGTCGCAGACAGAAGTGGCGTCCAGACACCAGTACTCCTACGGTTCGGCGGCAGCCGGAGGCCAGGCCCGCGCCGCGCAGGTGCCTGCCTCCTCCCGCCGATCGGGCCACGGGCACCGGGTGTTCGCGGCAGGGCGCAGAGAAGCTGGCCTCAGCTGCAGAGCTGCATCTCTGAGTGACTTGCCTGACACATGGGAGCTCAAATTCCCTCAATTATAAATGAAAATGAGCAGCTTGTCTTGAGGAGCAAACTGCATAAAGCACCAGCAGCCCACGCTCCCACTAGGCGGCAGCTTCCCCGAGGGGCCTCGCTCACTGTTCTAGGCCCTCCCTCAGTCTCTAATGCGATGCTTCACACATAAAAATAACAAATCTGAGTCCAAACTTCCAACAGCAATATCCGATTCTTCTAGCTTTGGTTTGCCTGTTCTCCACTGCTAAGAACCCTGGAACAGAACTTTAAATGTGCAAGAAGCAGCCACGAAGTCTTGACCCCTGGGCTTACACTCTGATAACGCTGCAGCCAGTACAGTCATAACTTTACAAAGATAAACGTTTCCTTAAAAGAACAAGTCCTGGTGCAAACTACCGAGACAATATTTAAAACGAAACGACACGGCTGCGGTCCCCCCGTGCCTACAGAAGCGCCACTCGCTGGCGGCAAGTTTCAAGGAAGAGACCTCCGTCTGGCGCGGGCAGCACAGCAGCTCCGGCAGCCCCCCCACGAACGCATGCGCGCTCACCGCGCTAATCTGCGCGAAAGGCAGATGCAACCTATCACCTGTTTCCTTTCTTTAATTATTTTTCCCGACAGAAAAGCAAGTTTCTTTCTTTCCTAAAGGTGTATATTTACCCTTGCATAAACCTCTGCCTGAGAAATATTACCCCCAAGGATTATTACAGGGAAAATGAAACACTACTTCAGGTGGATTTAATGCCAACTCTGATTAATATTTATCAGAAACAAGAGACCCAAAAAACCACCGCCAACAAAAAGTCTAGGAAACTGGAGATGGTTCTTATAAACTTCTAGAGAGCTAATGCAAAGAACCAAGGATTGAAGGTGGAGATTTGCCTTTAAATATTTTATCAGTATCATTAGTTAACTGATCATCAATTGGCCTTCTTCTCCAAACCAGTAAAAACTCACCAGGGCAACCCCAAATCTCCTTTTGCTCAAGCTAGCCAGAACCAACATGGGCTTTTGGAATCTTGTATAAACACTGTTTCTTAAACACTAGTACTTTAAGAATACTCTTTAAAACTATATGCGTTTCATTATCTAA